TATTATATTAGTAACTTTCAGTAGGAGCAATTTTCTTAATTAATAATTAGTTATCAATATTATGATTATTTATTTTAATTAAAATTAAATATAATTAATGCTATTAATTTCACATAATTTTGTAAAGCTAAAGTAGAACTGTTTAGGATTAGCTGCACCAAAAATATTAATTTTTAAACAAGAAAATTTAGTGAAATAATTTTTAAACTATAAGAAAAAAATTATAATTTTTAGGTTGCATGAAAATTACGCTAAAATAAATTAAAAATAGTTCATAACAATTATGATAATTAATATAATTTGAATACTATTTTATTTAACATAGATTTCTTCGAACCTTTCGTTTTGCATATTCGGAACTAAGTACTTACAAATATAAAATAGGTCAAGTTAATCTCAAGGAAACACTGCTAAATCCTATTACACCGCATAGAATCATAGTTATAATTGTAAGAATGTGTATAAGTATTTATAAGCATAATTAGTGAATTCTAAAACTAGATCTTGTTGTTGTTCTTCTAATAAATACGTCCTCACACTCTTAAGGATTCACATCATTCGTAGCTCACCTCAATAATTAAATCATTAATTTATAGAATGTACAAAATAACATTACACCAATTTTATTTTATAAACCTTATTAAACTACTTTTATTATTCTTAACCTACTTAGTACGCTATATGCTATTTTGTTATCAAGCATTTGTCAATATTAAACTTTTCCTTTTTTTTATACATTACTATCCGCTAACTTTTTCTAAAAACGAAAAGAAAGTTATTTCAAAAATTGAGTTCTTAATTATTTAAATTGTTCAAGCTATAAAAAATATTACTTAAAGATTGCCTCGGGAGTGTTTTTGATAATAATTTAAATTTTAATTTTGTAAATACATTTAAAAAAAATTTAATCTTCTATAAAACGAGCCTAGAAATAATAAAAAAAAAAAAAACATTGAATAAGTTGAACAAAAAAAAAAAGTTAATACTTTTATTTTTTTTTTTTTTTTTATAATTTATAATAAAAATAAAAAATTAAATTAAATTTAGCAGATATTCAATAATTTTGTTAACAAACAAATTATGGCAAAAAAATTGACATGTAGAAATTTAAAAAAATAAAAAATGCAATTTTTTTTTAATAATTTTTTGCAACAAATTTGTTTGTTAAAAAAAATTTTTAAATTCCTAACTTAATACTTTTATTTAAAATTACAAAAAATTTTTTAATTCAATCCTCGATCGTTAAAAATTATAAAAAAAGATAAAATCTGATAAACTCAGTAAATATTAAATAAATATAATTTTAATATGTAAAAAAAAAATATTTATGAATAGATATTTAATTTATATTTGTGGCAAATATATTTATTTCGTTTATTTATTTACAAAATTTATTAAAAATTTAAAAAATATCTTTGATTTATGTATGTAAAAGGGTAATGTCTGCGCCTTGCATAACTTGTGTGCCCTTATTTCCAAAGATACACGTGTTTTCTACGACTAATACTTTCAACCGATTGGCCGGTACTGTAAAAAGCTGTTGCGCAATTGGTCGATGGATTAAGTTACCACGTGGGGTTGTAGTATAAAACACGAGGTAAGGGATGAAACTACTTGCAGTTCTATAAGAAACTTGTTAATGTTATGAGTGTTTTTTATTTTATTCAGTACTCATTTTGTTTGTCAGTGCAGTGATTGTTTGAAACTTATTTTTCAATTAAATTATACACCTTTAATTAATTAAAATATCAAATATGAATAACTAGTGCATTTTGATGAAAATAAAGTTAGCCGACGTTCAAAAATTTTTCTATTTTTTTTAACAATTAAATTAAATTGCAAGTAAAAAAATACTTAAAAAAAATTACACGTATAATTTTTCAAATTTTCTACATGTGAAATTTTTTTTTTAAATTTTGTGGAAACAATTTTTTCAATAAAAATAATTTTAAAAATTTTCAGATGTCGGCTAATTTAATTTTCATTGCATTTTGTCCTTGAATAGAATATTTTTAATAAAATCGGTAACTTGCGGATAAATAATAGCAGAAGTCCAAAAATAGTTTGGTTTTTAATAAATAAATAAAATTATATTCGGAAGTATAATTGTTTCTTCTTTTTGTTTTCTTTAAACATTATATTAACTAAATTGACAATTTCAAAAATTGTAATGCTTACACTTTTTTCGGTATCGTTTATTACCGCGAGTGTAATTTTAAATTACTGATTAATTTTAACACTAAGTTAAAAAAAAAAATGTTAAAATTAATGAAAATTAATTTAGCAGATATTTTATAATTTTAAGAATTTTTTTAACAAATGAATTATGTCAAAGAAAATGAGAAAAAAAAAATTGAGAAAATTAAAAAAACAAAAAATCCAATTTTTTAGAAATAATTTTTCGGAGCAAATTTATTTATTAAAAAAAATTAAAAAATTGTCAAGCAACTGCTAACTTTAATGTGATTAAAATTAGATTGAATTATAAATTTCGAAACGAGGACAGTGTTTAAGAACTGGTATTACCTTCGCATTCTAAAATCGAACTCAATGAATTTTGTATTAATGCTTGAACTATCCGGTCAATTCTATAGCACTTAAAGATGTTTATTCCCGGCGATTCACCTACTATACGGCTATAATACTAAATATTACACTGAATATATTTGCTACTGTGACACCGATCTTATTTAATGCCTTATAGGTGGATATACTATACCAGTATGTCAGATATCTTAACTAAAAATGAAGATTATTATTTTTTAATAAGTAACTCTAACTGAGTGACCTCAAATTTATTAATTCAATCATCAATGATTAATTCTATTAATGTATGTTAATTAAATTAATTAATTAAAAGAGGTGTGAGATAATTATCGATAAATGAAGATAAATTGGGCCTTAATGCAGCTGCTGGCCACTGCACAAGATTAGACATATGACTCTTGTGCGTGTGACAGCGGCTATGATGGGGCTTCTTTCATACAACAGCTTAATAATATATTCCAGTTAATATAAAGAAATATACACGTATGTAATACATACTCATATGTACTTTACAGTACTTGTGCTGGTAAAAAACGTATGAACAAAACTTTCATCAATAGTTGCTGGATATAAAAGGGGGAAGACCTACCGGCTTACACGTCAAGTATCGAATTTAGAAACTTGATATTTTGATACTTGTATACATAATCAACTTAATTTTTTTTTTTTTTTAGGTATCGTTAATTATTTATGTTTCGATTGGTATTATCGGGAGTGGATTGAAGAAATAATCTAAGTAACATATGAATAATTAAATTAATATTTATGAAAAGGATTTGTAAAGAAAAAATTTTCTCTCTTTCTTCTTTCTTTGTAATTGACTTATGAATTACTTATTATTTTTATAAGTATAAACTTTTTAATTTTTATGATTAATATTTATGTATGTACAATACCAATTGGCACATATTAAATAAAGAAAGATTTTTAAATATTAACATTTAGTTTTTAAGGTTTTTATTTTTATTAAAAAGAATTATTATTGTTCATATTTTTTGAAAACTATTAACTTTAAAATAGAGTTAAAAATTTTTTTAAGATCATTTATTATATTGTTGACATTTAAATAATTTATTGCAATCATTATTGACTATTTTATTTTTTAGTTTGAAGCACAGCAATGTTTTTATTGTTATGCTAATGAGTATGATTATATATTGCGATGAAATAATATCAATGTTTTTTGTACAGTTATAAGAAAATTTCAAAAAAAAAAATCTACAACGAAGAGGTGATCCAAGAAAAGGAAAACTGATTGCGGACATCATTTACTCTCTTATCTGTCAAGATTATTCTCATTGGGATATATACAAAAAACTTCCATTGTAAACTCACTCATCTTCTATTTCAATGATTGCAGGCAGAAACTTTCAAATACTATTTTTAATACTAGAAATAAGTCGATTTCATTTCCTAAAATTAATAAAAACATCACAGGTCAAAGTGCAAAATATACGGTCTTTAAATATTTTAATATATTACCAAACGAATTGAAATTTTTTGCTGGAACAAACAAATTACTGAAGATAAGTCTAATTCGATGGATAAAGCAATGTGACTTATGATTTTCTCTAAACTACTATTATAAATTAATTAATTATGTAAACTAGCTTTCTTGATTTGTAATTTAATTTATACCAGTTCTATGAACAAATGTTCTGCATCTCTATAGGACAGATATGTCATTTATTATACTATCTATTGATTATCTGTAATATTTTCTGGTTTAATAAAAAAAATTACTTTACACCAGATATTAAGATTAATAAAATCATATAGCTAATTGTTATTTTATTATTAATAAAAAGTATAAATATTTGAATAAATTTACTTATAATTTTGTATAAATATACTGTAAAAAAGATTCATTAATAAAATAAAGTTTAATAAATTACTTGAGTTAAAAGCTTACTAATAGGGTCTAATATCCTTAAGGTAAGTTCAAATTTTTTTTTAAATTTCAGTTCAGTTTGATTGAAAAATTGTTTTCAAATAAATACAATTCATATAGTTTAACATTATTTTTATATTTAAATACCAGTTCAATGAAACACTATTATACAAAATAATTTTATATACATTCATTTAATATATAATTTATAGTATCCTGCTTTAAAATTTAAAACACACCACACAAACAGATCATCAAGAGTCAATATAAAACAGATACATTTTATCATTAAATTCAAACCTGTGCTTTAGTAGTAACTGAGATTGCTAGATTCTCACATTTTCAAAGTAAGAAAATATATTTGTGGATACGGAATGTTTAAATTCAGTCGATATGCAATTCTTAGTTTTATATTTAATAAATCCTTCGGAGATTCCTTGAAACGAGACTCTATGATGTCATATAATCACTTTATTTTGATTACTGATCGATTGATCAATATTTGTACGCTTTTTAGTTATAATTGTAGCCAACAATCCATACTATCTCATTGTCAGTGTAATTATGGACCTTTTACTTCATCATTGTGCATTTTCATAGCAAAACATTGTATAGGTTTACAATCTCTACCGTCTCCAAAACAGAGCACTGTTTCTCCTTCATTTAAATCATGTTTAGCTATTCTCTCAGGTGATGAATACGTCATTCCACAGCTTTCTATTTCATTTCCTCCGTTTCCTGTAAAAGCGAAAAAAAAATCGTCAATTTTGATAAAAGTTTTTAATTCTTTATCTAGGTCAAAATTTATTTTTAATAATTTAATTATCGCTGGTTCTTAAATGAACTTTAGTAAAAACTTATAAAATATTAAATCAATTTCTTGAATGTCAAATAAATGGTGTAATCTATTTATAAAAATTATTTTTAATTTAAACTGAAAAAGTAAGTTTGCAGTTTTAATTTTAAATAAATGTCAATATATATATAAAAAAAAAGTATTAAAAAATTAAAGCATTACCTATACGTCGGCTGTTTGAACGTTTATGACAAATAACTGTCCTCAATAATGTTAAAGCTTTGCCATCTATTAATTCTGGATCAACTCTTAAGCTTTGTTTCACATGATACACCGCACCAGTGTAATTTTTTTTTGCAAAAAGCAATGATCCATATAAATAATTTGTTAATGGCTAAATAAAATTGAACAAAAAAAAAAATAAAACACTTTATTAGATTTATTTTTTATTTAGGATAGTAAATTAATATAAAACTCGCAATGTCTAATTCATTGAGTATTTATATTACGTTATTATGCAACAAATTGATCGCAAGATTTATGTATGTGGTTAGGCTTATTTATAACATGTAAATTTAAAGTACATAATCGATTTTTTTTTTCACTTCAATTTAATTAATAAGTTAGTGTAATTTTTTATATCAAAATATATATTATTAAAGAAAGTCGATCTAAAGATCAGCCTACAATTTAATCTGCAGTATATTTCTAACGCATACAAAAATCTTGATCTAAGGTGTAAGATAAACATGCAGGTTCTAAAAATTTATATGTATAATAGTATAGACGTAGATAGATTACCTCAATAGAGTTTATCCGAAGAGCTTCTTTGGTAGTTCTCAAAGCATCATCAATCAATCCAAATTTTTGGCTGATTGAAGCGATACTTACTAAAGGTACATCTTTGAATCCATTTGGGACAGTATTTAAAGCAGATTGAAGACAATCCAGAGCATTTCTAAATTTTCCAGCGATTCGCCAGTGCAAAGAAGCCAGCATCGACAGAACCCATGGCGCAGCAACTTTCTACGTAACAAATTTATAATAATTTAGTCATTTTCTGCATCAAATTAATACTCTTATTAGATAAATTTATACGTCACTGATTTTGTGGCAGTCAAAATTCTTTGTCCAATTTCAGCTAATTCTGAATTTTTAGCCAAACTTGTTAAAAATGATGTCAAACTGCTTTCAGGAGAACTAATTCCCATAGTTGCTTTTAACAATAACGGAGAAATGAATTTTGAGTCAAAAGAATTTGATGTCTGACAAATCGGTGGATACCAGGGTAATGCATGCTCTTTGCCTGAATCCATTCCAATCAATTCATTAATAAAAATATTAACTCTGAGAGAAAAAAAAATTTTTTTAAGTAAATAAAATTATCGTTAGTGAATTTTTTTTTCTTGATAGTCATGTAATACCTACATGTAGCCTTTGTTCTCTGGTGATAAATAAATAGGTATGTATTGTTTGGTATCAATAAGTAGCGATGGTTTTTCACATTCGCTCTGATCTGGCCAATTTTTGTTTTCAAACTCTCGATTACTTTTTTTTATTTCAAAATTATAGTACTTTGGTTTACTAGTCGGTTCCATAAAAACTGTAAAGAATTCCGTACTCCGGTCATTAGAATTTTTTGGTATTGGACTAAAGTGCTCATTTTTAGCTAATTAAAAATTGAAATAATAATAATGAATTAATCTAACAAAATAATAAAAATAAAAGTTCTAATATTTGCTTAAAGATAAAAATTTGAATAACTTACAAGGTAAAACTTTGGCGGTTGACATTCTGTCGTTTATTTTTTCAACTTGATTCTCAACATTTTTTAATTGCTGCAAACTAACGCCAATATCAACAAGAAGATTATGGGCAAACATTTGATTGTCATTAGCAACTTGACATGATAGCATTGCATCGTCGCCGTCACGTTGCATACAAGATTGGCCTCTATTTGATAAAATAGGCCCCAAACGATGAGCACGAAATGCTGCAAAAGGCGTTTTCATTCGCTCACACAATATTTTTTCTTCAAGCTTTAACCATTCTGTATAATCTTTTTGTTGTGCGTGTAACTTCGTCACTATGTCATCCAATCTCCTAAATAACAAATAAAACCCATGTGCTTTTCCAATCAACTTGTAACTATTGATAGAAAAAAAAAAATTGGAAAAAAAAAAGAAACGGGTGTATTTACTTGTGTAAAGCAGTGAGAGCTTCAGTTAAACTTTGACAGCATAATATAACAAATTTAGCTTGCTTTGCCTGTTCCATTGAAGGGGTAAGCCTCAAAGAATTGTCATAGCACGCTAATGATCGATTGTAATCACCTAAAATTGCATAAACATGCCCTAAAGCAAGATGTTGATGACTTTGTGTTGGCGCATAATCTATTGCCGCATGAAGAACAATGGCTGCTTCTGCTGAATATTTAGCAGCATGTAAAATTCCGCCCGTTGTTAATAATGGTATATCACGATATTGCCTTTAAAATTATTTATTCATTACTTTACTTTCAATATATTATTAAAATTTATTTTTATTTATAGTTATATAATAAAAAGCTTTTTATCTACCTAGGAGCTGTAACGATAGCCCGCCTAGCGCATTCAAGAGCATTAAAAGCATCTCCTTTTACTCGCCAATAAATAGCAGCAAGATTTAAATGCAACCATGAAGTGCTGTTTCTTTTCAATCCATGCGCTATTTGATGACCGAATTTATTTAAATCCGTTCCAGGTGGTAAATACTTTATCAAGCCTTTCTCTTGGTGTTGCGATAAATTTTTCCTATTGCGCATTGCCTGTTTTTTAAAAATATAAAATTATTGATTATACAGTTAATGGAAATTTTTTATCAATTTACTTACACTGAGATGTTCAAAAGTGTACATGCTAAAATCTAAAGGAAAAGTTTTTTTGCAATCTGGAATGGCTCGTTTGCCATCATCTGGTATTCCGTCGAGTAAATAATCTTTTTGTCTGTAAAAAGCAAATATATTTAAGACAAACTATGTAATGCATCAAATAATGATGAACTCGGTAATTTTATTCTTGCAGGCAAAATCATTTCAAACATTACTTATCGAAGGTCTAATTAGCAATTTTGGTCTAACTCCTTATTTTCTAGAGGATAATTTTTTAACATTTTGATGTAGCTATAGTTTAATTATAAATTATTTAAATGATCCAAACTAAAATATTAAACCTCTATTAGATATCAAATAGTTTTTTAAAGTGATAATAAATTTTGAACTAATTCTCTAAAATGGAGTTAGACAATTTGCTAATTAGAACGTCGTTATAAATTATACAACTTACGTTACACCCTTTCGGTAGCTACCATCAGTAGCAACACTAGCATAAAAATCAAAATCCTCCAATAATTTCCGATTAGATATACATTCTGGATTCGACGATTGCAACCAAGACTCTAAATCTCCGATAGAATTGAGAACAGCTATTTGACTATCAAGAACCATTTTTCTTGCCATTATTTTTTTATGCAATGATTGAACGATGTTCATTCGTTTTTCTTGTTGAAGAAGTGCAGGAAGATCATTCGGTTGGTTCATTTGAAATGCCGAGTCCAACTATAAAATACAATATCAATTTAAGTAATCATCAGAAATATTGAAATAATATCAGAGTATCAGGTGAATAAAATAAGCGGTATCTCATATCCATTATCAATGAGATCCAAATATAGCAATTCAAATCCGATTTTATCACAAATAAATTATTTAAACTAATTGATGAAATCCTCAAGCCAATCTGATTAAAGTTTTATCATCAATTCTACGGCAATTTAATATTAAATGATATATGTGAGATGTTGTTATGATAAATATATCAAAAATAAAATCTCTATCAACCAGTTAAGTGCTACATAAAGTTTATATATTTCTACATGTAATTAGTCATATCTTATCAGGTCTTTAATGTGTTGTCAGAAGCAATTTATCATTTTTCGGCTAATCAAAATTAAAGCATTAAATTAAATTTTTTGTTTTATAATTCCTACTGGCAACAATAATTATAACATTATTATACCTGTGGTTGGATTTTTCCATTTTCAGTGACAACCCAGTGAGTCGTACCAGATATACCAATAATTGCTTGAAATAACATAAAAAAAATCCTGAATGATTTTAATCTGACCATCATAATTTCACTTTTATTTTATTTCAATAAAATAAGTTTTTATAAAACAATAATACTGATTATTATTATTATTATTATTATTTTACATCAATAATTTGGTGTCTTTTTTCCAGTAAATTGAACCTAAATTTCATTTTATGTTTTTACTGATTTCTTATTAATTCGTCTCATTTTCATAAATTGCGAAACTTTGCTAAGACGTAAAGTCGCGCGAAAACAAATAATTTGATCAGCACTACTGAACTATTTTATTTTATTCAAGTGTTGAGACGAACAACTGTATAGTTCGATATTTGAGGTTACTACACGTTCATAAATATACGCTTTTCCATCTTTTACTCTCTTCAATTTCAACAGTGTCTCGAGAGCGAGATGGCTATACTTTTATCTTTTACCTGTTTCTTTTTCATTGGCTGTTACGTAACCAATGAAACTATGCGGTAACAGACCACGTGGGAACATTTGGCTATTTGATTGGCCATTTAAAAAAAGTGCGCTTTTAGAAAACATTTAGTTTCAATTTAATTATCAAAATTTATAATAATAAATATAAATAAATTTTTTCAAATTAAATTTATACTTATTGTGATTTTATTAATAATAAAGTTAGCCGACATTTTTTATTTTTTTATTTTGCTTAATTTATTAAATTATAACTAAAAAATATTTTTAAAAAATTGCACTTATTGTTTTTGAAGTTTTTAACAAATGAAAAAATTTTTTTTTATTTTTTTGTAATAATTCTTTAATAAAAAAAAATTATAAAAATTTTGAGATGTCGGCTAACTTTATTTTCATGTGATTTTAAATGAATATATTTAAAAAATACAACAATTTTTACTACATTTTTAAATTAAAAATTATAAATAATTTCCTCTAAGAATATTAAATTATAGAGAAAAATTTTTATGAAACCTTGTGTGAGACATATTTAATATTTATTATTTCATTGCGCTTGGGGGTAATTGTCAGTGTTTACCTGTCAAACCGGTATGATTCATAAAAATTGATAAGAAAATGATAAAATATGGTTTAATCGTTAAAAAATGAACTTTTTTTTAAATTATTAAAAATTTTTAATTTAAAGTAAATAATAATTTTTCAGTATTGGGGTTTAAAGAATCAAAACAATTAATTTTGAATTTTATTCCATTAGAAAATACAAAAATCCATGAGAAGGATTAAATAAAAGTTTTAAGTAAATTTACCAACAGATACTTTCAATAAAAGAATAAAAAAAAAAAAAAGTAATTTCAATTATTCAAAAGTGTCGGCAGTGCGACGACAGCATAAAATTTTAATATTACTATACAATAATTGAGTATCACCAAAGAACATTATGAAAAAAAATTATTAGCGTATTTTTATGTTATTTTATAATAACTGAGGTTTATAAAAAATAAATTAATAAAGTTTTGGAATATTAAAAAAATAAATAGATAAATAAAAAAATAACTTGAAAAAATTAATTGATCAATTTATTTATTTTTAAACATAAGTCCAGAAAATAAAAAAATTTATTAATTGTTTATTTTAATAAATAAGTAAATGATATTTCAACTGAAGACAACTATCATTGTTGCACGTACATGCGCAAGATCTTACGTTCATTGTATATAAGTGAAAGAATGAATATCGTGTCAGTGTAAAATAAATCAAAGTCTCACGTGGATCGGTAGTGGAATTTCAACAAATAGCTTGCGGCAAAAGATAAAATAATTGGAGCTGTACAAAATTTAAAAGTGTGATTTAAAAATACACAATGAGTCTCGTAAGGCAAAATTTTAATGCCGACTGTGAAAATGCGCTTAACAAACAAATCAATATGGAATTGTACGCAAGTTATGTCTACTTGTCAATGGTAAAGGCTAAAATATTGATTATTTTAAGTAGAACGTTTTTTTAAGTGAATTTAAAAATTTTAAATAATAAATACATTTTTTCTGATCCATCAGGCTTTCTATTTTGACAAGAGTGATGTAGCTTTGCAAGGATTGCATCAGTATTTTAAACTGGCTTCTGATGAGGAACGTGAACATGCTATGAAATTTATGACATATCAGAATAAACGAGGAGGTTCTATTGTTTTGACTGATATCAAGTCGCCGGAAAAAGTGGAATGGGGTAGTGCTAAAGATGCTATGACAGCTGCTTTGGAGCTTGAGAAGAAAGTCAACTCGGTAAAGTATTTATAACTTCTTATGATTTTCCAGTCGATAATTACGATCAAATTGCAGTATTTTTAAAACCAACAAAATCTATTTTTTTTTTTTTTTATTAACACTGCGTAGTTAAAGTTAAATATTATTATTTCTAAACGTAATGATAACGTTTATGCGCCGTTATCAGAGTCTTTTGTTTCTGTAAAAATAAAAAACACTTGTGTTATTCAAATGTAGAGCGAAAAAATGTATTTATTAATTTTAGAGTTTACAATCCCTGCAATTATTTTCATCAACTTATAAATTTCATCATTTCAGAGTCTGCTTGAACTTCATGCTCTGGCTTCAAATCACAATGATGCAAATTTGCTGGACTTTTTGGAAAGTGAATATTTGCAAGAACAAGTTGACGCTATAAAAGAAATCGCTGATCATGTCACCAATCTCGAAAGAGTCGGAGAAGGTTTAGGAGTATTCATGTTTGATAAATCACTGAAAGAATAATTTTTTAAATTATTTATCGTAATAAGTTTATTTTTTACTTGCGAATGTAATTTATACTTGTAGGTGTATTTGGAATAATTATGAAAATGATTTAATTTTGGCTTTCAGTCCTTATTTAAACAACTTATTAGTTCTGTCTTATTATCTTCGTTACTCAGAAAGAAGTAATATATTTTAATAGAACCAAGATATCATTTCAATCTCAGTTAAAATTTTTTTATTTTTTAAGACAATTTTTTATTTATTGGAAGCAAAGATCATCTTGAAAAAAATTTAAGGAACTAGAAGCAATAAGGACTGAATGCTAAAAATAAAATCATTTTCATAATAAATACTTTAACAGTCCAAAGAATTATTTGGAAATATGTACACCATAATTTTAAAAAATTGGGAATAATGTTGGATTCTCATCATCAGAAAATTAAAAATTCTAATATTTTTATTGTTAATGGAGCGGTATGTAATTTAAATACGAAAATTATTATAAGTAAATTGATTGGTGCTTGAATCTTATCATTGTATTACGTTGCGCGCAATAATAAGCAGTATATGTTGCTGTATAATTAAATTTATAAAGCGTTAATTGAAGTTATTATGAATATGTTAATTGTTGAATTAAAATTGAAAGAAAAACAAAAATAATATTAGCAATTAAAAGCTAACAAAATAAATTCAATAATATTGATGAATTATATAATAAATATATATACAAATTTTTTTACAACTGTCAATTGTCTCTGGCATTACTTCATTACAAATTATATTTGTAACCTCATAATCAATGTCAAAATTTTAGTACTAAATTTTAAAAAAAATTTTTAAAAATAATGTCAATAATTCAAAAGATACTTTTTCCAAAATTGCTCACTGTTATTCCAAAACGTACTTATTACATAAAAGATAGAAATGAATCGAATGGGGAAATTTATTCATCAAAAACTCCAAATGATTGTGATGGACAAATTCAGAAATGGCCTTCAGAAAAGAGGCTTCAATTTAATTTTCATCCTGAAACAGAAACAGCTTTTAATCAACAGATCGGTACCGAATTTAAAGCTTTTTATAATTATTTATCTATGGTATAAATAAAAATAATACTTATATACTATTTTTACATCACCAAATATTTAAAGTACTCTATGAATGTAATCCTTATTTTCTGTGAAATAAGGCGGCATTTTTTGGCCGAGCAGATGTAGCAATGCCCGGATGTCAATCATTTTTTACTCAAATGTACACGGAGGAGTTTGAACATGCATTGCAATTTTTAAGCTATGTAAACATGAGAGGAGGATCAGTGAATCTGTTCGGTATCTCACCTCCCAATGTGCAAAACTGGAATTGTCCACTTTATGCATTCAAAGTACTGAAAAAATAATAAATTATTTAGATTTGATATCATATAACTTAATAATACTGTCAATTATATAATATAATACATTTACCGAATATTAATGATAATTTCTATAACTTTAGGAAGCTTTGAAACTAGAAATTGCTGTAACAGATAAACTAGTAACTGCAAATGAAATTGCTGAAAGGCACAAAGACTTAAATGCAAGTGATTTTATTGTCACTGGCTATTTGGAAAATCAAATGAAAAGTGTTAATGAATTTGAGAAATTTATAACCGTTCTTTCTGGTATTGGAGATAAAACTCTGTCAAGATTTATGTTTGATAAAGATTTGTTGGATAATTATGTACTTTCAAAATTTAATGTTTTACAAAATAAAAATAAAGACAATTGAATTATACTAAAATTTGTATTAATGAGTGCATGTATTATTTATTTAATGTAAATTTATACAAATTCTACTACAATTGTATACAAATTACGACAAAATAAAAACAGAGTCAAAATTTATGACACTGAAATCAGCAGATTTTTTTCATTAATTAAATTAAAACTAAAAATTTTTTTTTTCTAATTGCACTAATAATTTTTCAAATTTTCTACATGTTAAATTTTTCTTTTTATTTTTTTTAAAAGAAAAATCCTGAAAATTGTCAGATGTCATGAAAATTAAATTAGTAGCCGATATTTAATAATTTTTAGAATTTTTTTTAACAAATAAATTATGGCAAAAAAAAAAAATATAAAAAAAAATTGACATTTAGAAATTTAAAAAAATAAAAAATGCAATTTTTTAAAAATAATTTTTTGGAGCAAATTTTTTTGTTAAAAAAAATTAAAAAATTCTCTAGTGACTGCTAACTTTAATGTCATAAAAATTTTCACATGTAGGAAATTAAAAAAATTGTACGTGGAATTTTAAAAAAATAGTTTTTTAAGTTCTAATTTTTAATAAATAAAAAAAATCAAAAATAATTGAGTGTCGGTTAACTTAATTTTCATTCAGATGTCTGCTAATTTTATTTTCATCAAAATTTTAATATATTTTTTCAATTTTACAATGAAAATTTTTTAATTTCCACGGCAAAGAAATTATGTTTCTTCAAAGATTATCTACAAAAAACTTTGACGTTTCAGAACTTCGTAAGTCTGGGGATCACAACGTTACCTAGTATTGGATAAAATTTGCTAAGGACGACTTAATCATAGTCTCAAACTCATTAGAATTCTATTAGAGTTCGAATGACAGTAAACGTAATAAGTACATAGTATTTTTAAGTTTAATTTGCTTAATATTATTATGTTTAATTAAATTTAATTTAATATGTTTAATTTATAATGATTAATACGTAATAAATTCTAATATTTATGTTCATATAATTCATACTCGCGAAAACTTATATATATTACGGAAATTCTCAGTAATTAAGAAAATAAGAAAATTTCTGCAATTACCATATACTGACAAGTTAGAAAAAAATTAATTTTCAATTTTCTCCACCAGTCGTGTTCGTAGCGCATTTCGAAACTCACCCAAACGTCTGTTGTTGATGTTTACAATTTACAATACTTGCCGCCAAATCTTTATATAGCCAAAAAATCTTACTTTTGTGAATCACTTGTTGAATTACTTAATGATATTTTAAAAATTAAATAAATAAAAATGGATAATATTACAGATCTTCTCAAAGTTTATTACTCAAGATTATTTCCTCTTGATGAATATTACAAATGGCTCAGCTACGGAGATGGTAATGTATTATGTCAAACTTAAATTTCGAAGGTTATAATAAAAACTTGTGATTTCAGCGGATCTATTCAAGCTCAGAGAATTTTCATTTACCCTTGAAGGCGACATATATATCCGATATCAAGCCTTTAATGATCAGAATGATTTAGGAAAAGGATTAGTATCAATGTTTCCAGTGAAAATTGATATTGGCGCAGTCTTCAATATTTTGTAATTTTTAATTCACATTTATTTATATAATTTAAGCAATTCTATTTATTAAAATTTAATTGTAATTTTACTTGCAGTCCAGGAGAAAAATCAGGATCTAAAAAATTAGAAGCTATGGAAAGAGAACTTGTTTTTGATATTGATTTAACAGATTATGATGAAGTGAGAACTTGCTGTTCAGAAGCAAATATCTGCAACAAATGCTGGAAATACATGTCAATTGCTTGTAAAATACTTGACGTTGCTCTTCGAGGTAGTAATTATTTAATAAATCGTATTTATGATAATACTAAAATTAGTCGACTTTTTTAAATTTTTTCTATTATTAAATTAGAACAAAAAAATATTTTTTTTAAATTGCACTTGCAGTTTTTCAAGTTTTTTACAAATGAAATTTTTTTTTTTTATTTCTTTGTAATAATTTTTTTAATGAAAAAAAATTCTTAAAATTTTCTGATGTCGGCTAACTTAATTGTCATGTATTTATGTATAATTTTTAATGATTTATAATTAATATTTTTTTTTTTTTATTTACATAAAATACAGATGACTATGGTTTTGAACACATATTGTGGGTATTTTCTGGTCGACGTGGTATTCATGCATGGATCTGTGACTCAGTAGCTCGGTCATTAGATTCTTCACAGAGAGGAGCTATTGCTGAGTACTTTCAATTGATTTTTGGAGGTGCTTATTCTAAAAGAAAAGTCAATTTATACAAAATTCACCCATCAGTTAGACGAGCACTAAACATTATTTCTCCTATTTTTGTGCCAATGTGTGTCGAAGAGCAAAATATGCTAGGTACGGAAAAAAATATCAACAAGTTTTTAATACTTTTGCCTGATGATGACACGAGGAAAGAAGTTAAAAGCTTATTTGAGAGATATACGACCAGTTTAGACCGATGGGATGCATTCTTGAGTTATTATGAACAAACCAAGGGAGTAAGTATACTTAAATATTATAATATTAAAGTTAGCCGATGTTTTTGATTTATTTTCATCAATTAAATTAGAACTTAAAAATATTTTTTAAAAATTGCACTTACAGTTTTTCAAGTTTTTTAAAAATCAAATTTTTTATTTTTTTATAATAATTTTTTAAAGGAAAAAATTCTAAAAATTTTTAGATATCGGCTAACTTTATTTTCATTAAATATTGTTTGAGTTAATAATTGAAATTTTTTTTTTTTACTTACCGCTAATTATTTTCGTTATAGAAAGGTTCTAAGTGGAGACAATACAAGAATTTCATTGATGAAGTAATGATTGAATATTGTTATCCTCGACTGGATATAAATGTAACTAAAGGCTTGAACCATTTACTAAAATCACCGTTTTGCGTTCATCCTAAAACTGGTAAAATATCAGTTCCATTTAATCCAAAAGCTGTTGATAAGTTCGACCCGATAACAGTTCCCACCATACACAAAGTTATTGAAGAAATCAATGCTTATGATAATTTAGACAAAACTGTTGAAGGTGATTCCAGTCAGGCCAAGAGGATAAAAGATTACAAGAAAACAAGTTTGAATAAGCCTTTGCATGTATTTAATGAATTTTTACGGAAATTAGAACTTGCGAGAACTAAGGAAAATATTGCAGCGGTTGAGTTTATGGACTTCTGAAATTATAATTCTGTCACTGAAGTTGATTAAATTATTTTTTATACTCTTATTTCCTTTTGTATACAAAATTATTTTAAGATATTGAAAATATAAAATTAAGAAACAAAAAAAAATATAAGATTATTTCTATAATTACAGTTAATTTAATCTTAGAGTATAAATATCATTAGAAATAATCATCAAGTATTGATATTTTAAATATAATTATTATTGAAGTTTTATTATTGAAATTGAAGTTCCTGCTCATTTCGCATATCAGTTCGAAATAATTCTAGCGTTGAAACTGTACCTAAATATATTTACTATATTATGTTCACCATAATAAAAAGAATGTAAATAACAATAGAGACATGCCGGTTGATAGAAACTTGTAAATAATTTTAATTAAAAATACAAAATTAATTATAAAAATGAACAAAAGAACTACGGTATTATATCTAGTACTTAATGTATTTTTTTCGATACTAATAGTCTTGTTAAACAAATGGGTGTACTATAACATTGGTTTTCCAAACATAACTCTGTCAATGATACACTTTATAGTGACATTTATTGGGTTGATAATTTGTGAAAAATTTGATGTATTTTGTATAAAAGATGTTGCTGTTAAAGAAATGTTATTTATTGCAATGACCTTTTGCGGTTTCGTTGTGCTGACAAATTTGAGTTTAGCACACAATACAGTTGGGACTTATCAGATTGCTAAAATGTTGACAACTCCATGTGTCATTATCATACAAATGTCATTTTATAACAAACACTTTGGTCTCCCAGTTAAATTAACACTCATTCCAATTGTATTGGGAGTAATTATTAATTTTTATTACGATATACAATTTAATATTCTAGGAACTATTTATGCGACTCTTGGAGTACTTGTGACATCGCTTTATCAAGTGGTAATTCATATTATTCTTTACAATATTCTTCTCTCAAAAATGACATTAAAGTTAGCATTCACTAAACAATTTTTTAATTTTACAATTTTTAACAAACAAATTTGTTCCGAAAAATTAGCTTTAAAAATTGCATTTTTGATTTTTAAAAATTTCTACATGTTAATTTTTTTTTCGCCATAATTTATTTGTTACAAAAACTCTTAAAATTATCTACTAAATTAATTTTTATCTTTCTAAAAGATAAATTATTTATTGAAATATTTTATTTTGTTTCTTACAGTGGATCAATCAAAAACAAAAAGAACTACAAATGGACCCTATGCAACTTTTGTATTATCAAGCTCCTTTGTCTGCTCTAATGCTCTTATTTATTGTACCTATTGTTGAACCTGTTGGTAGTACCTTGAGCCACAATTGGTCTATTTTTGATATGGTAAGTTTTATATTTTTAAATTAATATTTTTTATTTAATTAACTTACTTGATTTTTTGTTCTAGGTCATGGTCCTGTTTTCTAGTATTGTAGCATTTTTTGTTAATCTTACGTCTTATTGGATCATTGGAAAAACATCGCCCTTAACGTATCCTTGTTATTAATTATTTATAATCAACTAGATAGAAATGACTATTCATACGTAAAAAAATCCTGATAAATCCGGGCCGTGATGGCTCTATATTTATCAGGATTTTTTTTTTTTACATATTAATAGACATATTCTAATTCAACACAATTAATGTTAACCAATATTTTTTCCTTAACATTCACTAATATAGATACAATATGGTTGGACATTGTAAATTTTGTTTATTATTATTAGGTGGTTCAATTGTATTTAAAGAATCTCTAGCGTTAAATCAAGCTATTGGAATTACATTAACTTTAGGAGGAATTATTTCTTATACTCATGTGAAGGCAAGTTTAAACAAACAATTCATAAATTAGTTGAGTATTTATTAGTTATTTAACTAGAAGTAAGTTCTTGGAATTTATTTAAATTCACATTTAGTTATTTAATGCAATAAATCTGATTTTTAAATATTCTTTTGGCAAGAATATGAAGAGATAAAAAAAAAAATAGTCATCTAAGATTACCGAGATCTTATGCAACCAATAATTTATTACTTTCATGGCCATCTTATTTTTTATGACTAATTCTTAAATTTTTTTTATTTAGTTCAGTAGTCGAAGTAAAAATAAAATTTTTTTTTAAGGTTTAAAATAAGTCACAAAAATATTGACTGAAATTTTTCATGGTCAAAAAAAATCGACCATGAAAGTAATAATTAACTAATGTATTTATAAAAATGACAATAAAGTTAGCCGATATTTTAAAATTTTTAAAATTTTTTTTATTGAAAAAATCATTACAAAAATTTTTTTTTTTTTAATTTCATTTATGAAAAATTTGAAAAACTGCAAGTGGAATTACAAAAAAAATTTTTTAGTTTTAATTTAATAAATTAAACAAAATAAAAAAAAAAAAATGTCGGCTAACTTTATTATTATAAAAAAAAATTACAAGATATCGGTAAATCTTATTATCATTAATTGAAAGTACTGACATTAATTTTTCGTATTTATAATAAATAATAATTAACTTAAATTCACAGATGAAAGACAATCAATTGACTGCAGAGTCACAAATTGAAGAAGGAAAGCCTTTTGTGCATAAGATATAATCATAATCAAATTAAATATCCTGTTTCATAATAATATTACCTTGAAATCGTATGTGAAAGCTCGATGATTTTATCGTACAAGTTACTGATTATTTGATATATCAGTGATTAATTAATGCACGATATCAAAATGAATATTTATTTATATTATTGGCTTAAACGTCAGTAAATATTTATTTTCAGACGGTTAAAATCTTTGTTGTAACAACTGTATATAACATTTTTTTTATTTTACATAAATTTACAATTGTTCTTTTATAACTGTAAAATACTTTAAAAATATATGTTAAAAAAAAAAACTTTGCATCATTTCCTCTTATAATTTGTTACTTTTTTTTACTCTTATGATTCTATTTATAAGCGTCGCATTCCATTGAAATTTGAAGCGACAATAATCTGAATTCCAAATCAAAAAATAATGAAAATATTTACTTAAAAAATTTATAAAAATAATCTATCCTTTTTAATTACAAGTTGTACTAAATAAAATAAGTGTAATATGAAATTATAATTATATTGTATTGTAGTGAGCTGTATACATAATTCTGTAAATTACAAAAAAGGTCATACAATTATTCTATATAACGATGAATTATGGTAACAAAAAAAAAATATTTATAGAGCACCGTTGAACTTAATTTAAATAACGAGTACAACACTCGTTCTAAAACGTCCAATTCTATCCTTCAGCCAACTTAACTCTATAATCACTCTACATGCATATACCGTGGTACATACACGCTGTTCAGCAGTCAGTAGCTTCAAGTAATACTTACAACATATAATATAAATATTATACACAACGTATCATATATTCCAATTCTGTTTTATCTTTCTATTCTTTCAGTGCGCAATTTAAAACGCATTTTATCGTTGACACAAAAGTTATTTTCAATTATTATTATCAGGATTAAAGTTTATGTATATGTATATTATCAAGCTATTAAATAAAATATAGCATGACTTAACTTGTTGTCGTGACGGTTTTGTATTTTTTTAATTTATTTTTTAAACTTAAGGTGAATGTAATTGTGTATACTAAATGTAAAGACGACAATTATTCGAATCTACAAGCGAAAGTTTTTAGAGTAAATATTTTTTGTTTACTTTTTATTTTTTTAATAATATACCCATGTGTTTTTTTATATAAAAAAAAAAAAAACAAGTTATTTATTTAACAAGTGATTAATTAATAACTATTTTACGTTGATGATTATTTTGCTCCAGTATTAATAGATATTTATACTTTAAATATTTGTTTTTATTGTAAATATTTCAATTGTTTACTAAATAGTTTACAGTTACTGTAATTTAATATTCAATGTGTGTAATTATAAATATTTATAACTGTCACTCCAAAATAACCTAACTTTTTACTAAACAATGCAACAGGTGTTTAATTTCTTTTTTTTTTTATTGTTCAATAATAGTGTTGTTAAATTATTTGCTGTATAGTAAATTTATGGTACAGAAAACAAAAAGTATTTGACAGTTTTTATTAGTTTTTTAATAAATAAATGGATTAATGTGTAAAAATATAAAATAAAGTTTAAAACAACAGGTATTAAATAATTTTATCATTCACAGATATTTTTTTGATTTAAAAATTTATTATTAGGTATTTTCCTAAAAAATATTGAATATCAAAAAAAAATAACTTTAACTTTTATAAAATTTTTTCTGGTATTTAATTAAGTTATTAAAAAGGAGAAAATTCAATATTTAATTTTTTTATTTTAAATAAAACAAGTATTGGAAGATTTTTGACATTCAGTATTATTTATTTTACATATAAGACCATTAATTAAAATTTTTTATAATTTCAGGTGATTTAAAATCCAGGATTCAGTTTGATTGATGTAAAAATACCGATGTTTAATTGAGCGTGAATAAAGTGAAAGTTAAAGGCTAAAAGATGTCTTACTTGACGTCTGAAAATGGCACGATGGTTAATATGATAAAGCAAAAGTTTGAGCAAAACTTGTCTACTAAAACTTCAATTGAAAACAACACTAAAGATAATCATGACAATGAGGATAATGACCAGAAAGAACAATTACGCAGATCACTAAGTGCTTCTCCAGTTAAAATAAAAAAAAACTTGAAGCTAAATGTCACGAGACAGTTATCGAATCCTGGTAAAAATATTAAACGAACGCCGGCTTTCAGGGGAGACAAGCTTACGAAGATAAGAAACTTGCATTCGCCGTCCAAGGAAAAAGTATTTTCCATAGTTAATCAAAATGTCAAAATATTCGAAGAGAAACCAGAGTACGGTAAGCTAGGTAAGGTCAAAAAAAAATCTATAGAAGATGATGATGATGATGATGATGATGATGATGCACAAGATAAAGATTTTGATGTTGTAGATTATGGTGACAAAAATAAGTACGAGTATAAAAGTATTAAGAACAGTAATCGGCCACCGTTGACCAAAGAGAAGAAGATAACTAATGAAAATTCTGTTAAAACAACTGTGATCTCACGACAGAAAAATATATCACCTATTTATAACTTAGATTATGATTTTGGTCAGGCATCAAAACGTCTTAATACTACTAATGATCATGTTGTTTCATTTAATAATTTACAAAAAAAAAATCCAACTCAATTTGACAAATTTATAATGAATGGTGCTGAGTATACAAAAGTAATAAAATCCAAGACTGTTAATGATAAAAGTATAAAATTTAATGATTTTACTCAAGATAATGATGGAGATAATACAATGATAGACATTAGAGAGGAATTATCACGACGAAAATCAACGAAGCTTGAGAAAGATGAGTATAATAATAATTCATGTGAAGCAACTGTAATTATCCCAGCTGCTTCTTTTTCAAAGTCTGATGATGAATCAACTGATGAATTAACCAACAGACTGAAAGCAGCATTAAAAGCTCCACTGCCATCTGGTCCTCCACCAAAAAAACCTCCCAGGACTTTTGCTCACTGCCCGGTAAGTCGAAGATATAATTTAGATGCTGAAGAAAATGTTAAATCTTTGTGGACTCGTGATAGACTAAATTCTTGTGGAAAAAATACCGGACTCGATGTTACTGGATCGTCAAAATCTGTTAGGAATTATGAAGTTATTCCTGGTGATGAAGATAGTAGTGAAGCGGATAATGGCAATGGTAACGATGATGATAATGATGATGATGATGATGATGTTGTTGTTTCTGGGTCTTCAAAAGACCGGGTAAGAATAGGAGAGAAAGAAACTGGACTAAGCTCAGCACACAATGTACAAAATTTGAATAGTGCATTGCCCAGTAAAAATAGTTCAGCATTAAATGACATTAAAGAACACTCTCCCACGGCATCAACGAGTTCCGTTAAATGTCGCACCGTTCGTGACTCGAAGAAAATGTTGGAAAAACTTGAAACTGTGTTAATTCAACATCAAAAAGCCCTGGGACCAAAAGTTATAGTACCTAGAAAAGAAAAATTCGAATTAGATATGCATTTTAATAATAATATCAGCATTAATAATAAAAAAAATCAAAATGATTTGAACAATATTGAAAATACGGATAAAAATAAATTTTTCAACAGGCTATCTTGTACATTAGATGATCCTAAAAAAGGAAATAATGAAAGTAAGAATTCAGAGTCAAAAACACGTAAGCACTCGACGTTTGATTGTTTGCCATATTTAAATTGTGCGAGTCCAATGATGTATGAACAGCCGAATTTTAAAACATACTTTACAGAATCATCCTCGGTGTCATTAAATGGATTGAAGTCTAAATCTGATGACGTTTTAAATAATTCAATTTCAAATATTTTAACGAGTAATAATGATTTTTATGATCAGCAATTGAGTCCAGCTGCTAAAAGATTATCAACAGAATTAACGACATTTCTTGACGGTAAACGGCGACAAAGTAATTCATCAGCTAAAAATGAAGAGCGTATTTATGCAGAGCCATTTTCATTTGATCAAAAAAGCGGTACAGATATTATGGAGTTAAGTAAATTATCACCGGAAGAGCACAATTATTTGTCCCATAATTGGCATCAGTGTGACAATGGATTTATTAGTAATCAAAAGCGGCAAAATACTTCTGATGAATCATTATCCTTTCCGCCGAGAGAAAAGAAGAGAGAACCCGAGTTGCATTATATGGTATATACTCAAATTAATAATTCTTTTATTTATTTTTTTTTTTTCACTATTTTTCAGCGAATAAATAAAGCACTAGTTCACACGATCCCGTTAATTGTAAAGTACCCATATAATCAAATATTCCCACAGTCGTTCAATAAATATATTAATAGTAATGTGATAACTAATGGTATTAAATTATATATTTTTTTATTTGAATAATATTATTTCTACTCATTGTATTATTTTTGTATAATTTAAAATATTATTTTTTATCACAAAACTATCAGTCACTTCTCGTTTTTTAATAGTTAAATAATCTAGAACAGATAATAAATTTTTAGCATAAAATTCTCACTCTGTTAAAATATCATGAGAAAATTCGTCATTTTATTGTTTAGTACAAAGTTTTAATGCTCTAAATTCCGTAGCAATTATCTTCAAATGTGTTTTATTTTTTAATTATCATAATAATTATAGTCATCTAATTGACCCAAAAAATGAAAAGATCTGATGATATGCTGGTAGATTGTATTGACTTGAAATTTTCCCCATAGGCATCAATTAATTACCTAATATAATTACTTGTATTGTGCTGTATCTATATATATATATACTACAGATAAATAATAATTATCTTTTTTTTTTATCAGTGTACACCAATAGATCCACTTCTTTTGGAAAATAACAATAACACATCAAAAACTAAGGAGTTGGATAAATTATCACAAGATATTAATTTTCATACATTTCTCAATAAATCCAATTCATTGTCCAGATCATTTTTGGACGGACCAAGTCAAATTAAGGTATAAAAATATGAATTTATAATTATGAAAAAATATTAATAAGAATGGACAAATAATTTTTTTTTATTATTAATTTAAAATCCTTAATCAACAACATCACATTTTTCAATAGTATCTTCTATAAAATACGCCTTAATGACATCTGAAACGTGTTAAATTTGTATTAATGAATAGAAGTGATGAGAGAACGTAAAAGAAGCTGCACAAGATACGTTATGACTCATAAATTATATTCAGAGTGATCTTTGTTTTCATTTGTACTAACGTTAGAATAAACCACAAGTTATAAACTCTGATTTTTGTATTCATAAAATTTATAAAATTTATATCAAATCAAAAATCTATTTACAACACAATATACTTTAATAATAGAAAAAAATAAAAATAGATTTTTATTTATTCGCGCGCATTTACTAAATTGAAGTCCTTATTGATAGATGTATATATCATAACGACGCCCATCACTAATAAAACTTATTTATTGATGACGTAAAGAAAACATATAATGTATCAATTACGATGATTCAATGTAACGTCATAAAAGTAGACACATCCTAGTGCGCTTGTGTTTTTTTAAATAAAAAAATATCTCTAAAAATTGATTTAATATACAAAAACTTTTTATTGATAAAAAGGTGGAGCAGCTATTGAATCAAGCATTCAGACAGAGTACGATGGCTGGAGTGGAGATATCGACTGACTCAAACACTTCTTCAGACACAGACTCCATAGCCTCTACACCCTCATCAGCCAACGACGAACTGTCGAGCTTCAATGAAAAATTACGATTGTTTAAGCACCGAGAAAACAGCACCAGTAAAACAAATAAAGAAGAATTGCATCGTAGTCTTACTGAAAAAAGGAAACATTATGTTAGGCGTGTTTCTATAAAGTATTCGGAAAAACATGAGACTAGCCTTCGAGACCGACATGATAAACTGTTTGATGTCTGTTTGCTTGTCGAGCTCAATTTATGTACTAGAGAACCGTACATCAAAGATAAATATCCTATATATGTAAGTACAGAATATATTTTTATATTAAATTGATAAGACAGAAAAGCTTATTTTTTTTTCTACATATTTGCAAACAAAATTTTTTAATATTGAAATTCTTAAGATTTATTTTATTGAAAATTTTATTTAACGTTTATCTTGAGCAATTAAAAAAAATGTATGTCTTTGTTTGAAATTATTAAATATATAATCTATAAATGATCTTAATTATTGATTTTTTTTTTCATAGGCAAAAACACCAGCATGGATTGAAAATTTTTGTTTTCCTGACGCTCAAGATTGGCCATCATCAGACTTAAATCAAAATCAATTTTATTCTCTATTTTTGATGAACGATAAAGGTGACTGCAGGTACGGTTATTGTTGCCGAGTTAAACCAGAAGGTGGACCGATACTACCCCTTGCTTACTGTATGATTACTAAATTTCGAGCCAGTGGATTTTATCACAAAGTTTTATTAGAACTTGAATCGCGACACGGATTACCTGATAAAAGACGTAGAAAATTTATTGAAGATTTGTATAATAGTCCAATGCCAAAGCCAGGCAATTGTATTAAATTAACAACTGATAAAATAGAAATATTAACCGTTAGTAGCCATAACAATAATTTTATGAGTAATGACAATGACATTTGTTCAACTGCTAGTGAAACAAATGGTACAAATGATGTCATATTAAATAATGAACATAGATCTGTTAAAGTAGAACCTGGCTCGCCAGAGAAAATAATTGTACGTTCAGGTGATCCTAGATTAGAAGAAAAAGACATGAGTCAATTATTTGACGCCGTAAGCAATAAAGTACTTATATTTTTATTTGGTACTTTATTATTGGAACGCCGTGTCGTTCTCGTTTGTGAAAAATTAAGCAAACTGTCGTCGTGCGTTGAAGCGCTCCAGAGTTTACTTTATCCATTCAATTGGCCGCATACATTCATCCCCGTTCTACCTGATATTCCAGAGCTATCTGAAATTTTACAAGCACCGCTGCCGTTTGTTATTGGTATTTTGAAGTCCAAAAATGGAGTAAATACTCAAGTGGACTCTGTACAAGATGGAATTGTTATTGATCTCGATACGTCGAAAGTCCTTTGTGCAGTGGGAGACGAGTCAACTATTTTGCCGTCACGACTGCAAAAAGGGATCCGGTGTGCATTGCAATTGGTATCGAGCAATGTCAGGCCAGGTGATGGAATCAGAAATTATCTTGTTTCTGAAGCATTTCTTCGGTTGTTTGTTGAAACTTGTATACACTTTGATAAACATTTAGTTACACAGCAAGATGGTAAAATTATTTTTCAGGTAATTTTCAATGAAAATGACGTTAGCTGACATTTCAAAATTTTTATAAATTTTTTATTGAAAAAATTTCAATTAAATAATTTAAAAAAAAATTGCACATGGAAAAAACTTGAAAAACTATAAGTGCAATTTTTTAGAAATATTTTAAAAATTCTAATTTAATTAATAAAAAAAAATCAAAAATTTTTTAACGTCTGCTAAGTTCAGTGTCATGTAATTTTCATTCTTTTATTATTAATATCATCACATACTTTTTGATATAATAGTAATAATAATTTATATTTTTTTATGGATTTACAGAAAGAATCATTCGTTAAAGCATCTCCTAGTAAAACTTACAGATATTTCCTCGAGTGGTTTGTAGAAACTACAATGTTTAATACATTCGTGACGGATTATATTGCCCACATTGAAGGTACCACAGTCCACGATTACTATAATATTAAATTATTCATCCAAAGAGTTGCGGAATATCGAAAATCTGCCGAAACAAATTCGCAATCCAAGAAGTTTTTGTCTAAAAAAAAAACTTTTGGTAAGATTAATTTATTATCAACATTAATTTTTATATTTGTTTGGATAATTTTATAAAAGTCAGTTTGATTTTAGGTGATCGTCTTAAAGATTTAACAAATTTTTACACTTAAAAAAGGTAAAAAGGTCGGTATAATTATTAGACATCATCAATGAAAAAAGCAATTGAAATGAATATTTATTTTTGAATCTCAATAATGGCTTCGAGTAGCTTTAATTAGCAGTAACGTTGACAATAATGTGTAGTAATAAATTACGCCAGTTATACTATATACATCCTATTATTGTTTTAGAATTACAAGTTTTTATTATTTTTTTATTAATGTTTTATTTAACTTCAAGGTCTGAAGTAAATTTGTCATTTAGTGAGCTATGAATCTCATTTTATTCTAATAAAAGAATAAATTTAATTTAGTAGATACGTCAATTATGAAGAGTATTATTACTTAATCGATATTTTATAAAAATTCGAATTTATAGTTTTGAAAAATTAGTAATTATGCTTGAAAATTTGATTTATAAATAGTATTTTTGTATAAAATTTCTTTTTAATTAACACGAAGAGTATGATATAATTTAATTATATAAAAATTATTTGATAATTTAATATTATATTTTTATACTTTATTTAAAAGTCGATGATATGGTCAATACCCAGTGGATATAAAAATTTTTGTTTAAATCTAGTAGATTTAAATTCGTGTAAAGATTTTTTTAGGAAAATTCAAGAAACAAATTATTAAAAATGTAAAATAATCTTCGATTGATATGATTTTTATGCTAACCGCACAAATCATAAATATTTATAGTTGTAAAACATTATAAATGTTTAGATATAAGTATAAAAGGTACAAAATAATTAAATAGTTATTTTGTTCAATTTTTAAACATTTTACCGTACTGTGCCTTAAAAAGTGCCTTGTATGGAACCGGCTATTATTTGTAATTGCTTTCACTGTTTTCGTTGATAGAAAAAAAAAAAGTGTTATAAATTTTTGAACCAAATTTTTGTCCATGCGCAACGTACTTACTACATATGGATATAAATACTGTTGCCATGATTTATACTGTGATTATTTATTGCATTAATTGTAGTTTATAGTTATATTAATATGTTTAAATTATTAGACTGTTTACGTAATTAAGATGTAATGTATTATGATTCTTGATTTCTTATGTATATTAAACATTATTTTCAGTAAAAACTGCCGACTATTATTTCTCCATTTCTAATTTCACATAAAATTTGTTTCAATCTTTATAAATGAAATAAAATTAAAATAATTAAAGTATGATATGAAAATTTATAATTTTTAATACGAATCATTATTCATCAAATTCGAAGAAATATGGAATATTTCGATATAATATACATACACGTATACTACCAAACCCTGAAGAAGAAGAAGGTTTGATTGGTTCAACGACTAGAATTTTTTTTTAAATTTCTAACCTTAAAAAGTTTTATAATCACAATAAAAAGTTGGTTAATTTTGAAGTTTATAATAAATATTAATCCTTGAGTATGTTTACTTTAAAAAATACTTCAAGCTCAACGCTGTTATTTGGACCACCGATCACTGCTAAATCGTTCTTATTTGAAGTAAGATAATTTAGTGACAATAGTAATTTTTTTTTAATTTTCTTTTTCCATAATCTGCAAGTTTAAGGAGGTCCTTTCGCCGCCAATGTAAAATAAAAAATATTAGATTATGAGTAAATTCAATTTTTTTCTAATAGTTAAGGTCTTTATTTATCTAATAGTGAGGTTTAAATTATACTTTACCGGACAAATTTTTGAAAAAATAAAATTTTTAAATGCTAGTATTTGTTCAGAGTCTTACGAGAAAGTCAAACATTTGCAGTATTTCTCGAATTATACTATCACCCATGGATTAGATGAAGTAAAAAAAAAAAACTAAAAATTAGATTTTCAAAATATTCAGGTTTCTTTTTTTGCAATAAAATAGATCAGTTACCGAGATATTTATTGAGAAATTAATAATTAAAAATCACAAAAAATTCTCAAGTAAACTACGTTAAAATGGAGTCAAAACATTTGGCAAAGTTGCGTATCGCGCGAGCTTCAGACCATACAATAAATTCAAACTAATTTATTTATTTACACACTGTTAAAAATTTTTGTAAAATTACAAATCAGTGTATAGCAATGCTAAATAAAATACAATTCATGTAATTTTCCAACACCCTGTCAGGAAATCTACTAAGATGTATTGTAATTTTACAATCTTCTTGTATAAACCTAACACGCATTGTAATATTACAGAAATGTTGGTCAATTTTCAAGAAAAAGCTTTTTAATTTTGCAAACATTATTTGTAATTTGATGCTGATTATAAAAAACAAGGCTAGCCAATTTCAGACAAATGCGATTTTTCCCAGAGAGAATACGATCGTTTTCTTCGTAGGGGTAGTAAACAAAGTTTGTCAATTTTTTTATTTTTCTTAAAAAATGAACTAGGTATTGTAAATAATTTTTATGAAAATTAATGTAGCACATATTTAATAATTTCAAAAATTTTATAACAAATAAATTTTGACTAAAAAAAAATAAGAAAAAAAAAATTGACATTTAGAAATTAAAAAAAATAAAAAATGCAATTTTTTAAAAATAATTTTTTGGAAAAAATCTTTTTGTTAAATAAAATTAAAAAATTGTCAAGTGACAGCTAACTTTAATGTCATATAATTTTTTAGAGCTTCTAAAGCTGGATTTTTTTTTAAATATTTCTTGCTACAATTTATTTGTTAAAAAAATTGTAAAAATAAAACCAAGAAAACAACTAGAAGTATTTGAGTATGACCAAGACCAAGACCAAACATTCTTAGTTTTGTTCTGGCTTTGCTCATTACTATCGTAAATAGACGAAGGTACAGTTTTCGTTTTATAAATTTTAGTTATTATTTTAGTCGAAAATTTCGGTGTCCTTTGGCGATTCGGGTCTGTGTAATTAACTGCGAATAATCCATACTTTTGCATGTAACCAAACACCCATTCGAAATTATCGAGAAGTGACCAAGCAAAATATCCACGAATGTCGAAACCTTGATTTATAAGTTTTGAAACCTCTCGAAGGTGATCTAGATAGTACTGAGCTCTATCTGTGTCATCCAACGTCCCTTCATCCCAATAGCCGTTTTCAGTTATGAGAAAATAAGGAACATTATAGTCTTTATTTATACGCCTCAGTGATTCTGTCATCGCCCATGGAGTATTCTAATATCAATCATAAAACGAAAATTAATAATAACCAAAATCAAAAACTATTAAGTTGATTAAGTATTTACCCGATCCTTAGAAAATTTTTTTGAGCTAGAGGTCATTCCTACGTCTCTATCTGCAGAAACGCTACTATTTATATTGTGATTTTCTATTTTTTTAAAATAACCAGCTGAGTAGAAATTAAATCCAAAATAATCAGCTGAATTTTTCACCAATTGAATCTGTTCTGGGGTGAATTCTGGTAGCCTTGACTGAGAAAAGCCCTGGATGGCACTGTACTCAGCAATTCTTTTTTTCATAGTCTTGGGATAGTCTCCATCATTAGAGAAAATAGGATTTATAATCCAGCCGTTCCGAAAATCCCAGGACAATTTAACTCCTTCTACTTCTTCAGGATCAGTCGCGTCTTCTGCAACTGGTAACATAGCCGAGACTACTATTCCGACAGCGCCTGTAATTGATCCAATTATATTTTGATTTTGACAAATAAATTTACAAAATTTATTTATATAATATAACCTTTTTGAGCTTCGTAAAATTCTTCTTTATACATTCTATATGTTTTAGCATGAGCAAGTAATGCGTGATGACCGCAAATATAATCTGATCGACCAGATTCCTTTAATCCCGGAGCTAAAATCCCATTGTAACCAAGCCGGCAAAATATGTTTGGCTCATTAAAGGTTGTCCAATATTGAACCTGAGTAGAGAAATACATATTTGTACAAGTTTATTATCTGTTTTTGTACGTGTTTTTTACTTATAGGAAAAGTATGTCAAATCCCATTAATAAAAGTTGTCTTCATAAGATCCTTAGTCTTATGTATTTATTTCTGGAACTGATTTTTAGCATGATATGGTAATTAAAATTATTTCAATACAATTAATTTCAAAATAAAGTTATCGGTTATAAATAGTAATGTATAATTATTTGAAAAAATTTATTTTTTTGAGTTAAATTCGTTCAATTTTTAAAAGTCAATTAGTTTAATTTTACGATACTCAAATCAGAAAAAATCTAATAATTTTTGGTATTTTTATACCAAATAGATTATTCCAAAAAAAATATTTATGAAAATTCACACTCATAATTTTATTTTTCATTGTATCTGCACTTAAAGCTTAAACTTCTGCCCTGTTTTGCGGGAAGAATATATATTTTTTCCGAGGAGGTATATAGAATATAAACCATTGAAAATGAGCAGTAATAATCATTAACATAAATTTTTCCGTGTGTATTAGATAATAATCCACTTACCCTGTCTCCAAATTCTTGAAATAGGACTCTGGCATAATCGACAAACCAATCAATAATTTTAGGATTGGTCCATCCTCCCAAATCTTGAAATTTTTGTGGTAAATCCCAGTGGAAAATTGTAACATGAGGTGTGATGTTTTTAGTAAGCATATAATTGATCACATTATTGTAGTAATCGATACCGTCCTTGTTGACGTAATTGCTGGTGCCATCAGGCAAAACTCTTGTCCATGATATAGATATTCTATAAGCATTTGCCTAAAATAGAATAGTGTGAACAATTAAAAATGACTATGAATATTTAGATCTTACTTCAAGTTGCTTGACAAGGTCGATGTCCGTTTTGTACAAGTAGTACGAATTATCAGCAACGTCACCATTACTTCCATCAAAAATCTTACTTGGCTTTAAATGTGCCATTGTATCCCAAATAGATTCGCTCCTATCTTAATTATCATGCAATTAAAATAGTTTAGTTTACTCACATCATATATCCCGTGTAAAAATGATATGATATCATTATGAGGCTCATAATGAATATCATAATGAATGTCATATTTTGGCACTAATATGAGATTCATATAAAAGCCATAATTAATATATTTGAAACCTGTATTAAGTAAGATACTTATGGAAACGAATTTTTTTAACTAGATTATAAAATTTTTATTTTTCTTGTTGGAGAAAGCAAATTTCCAGTAATTTAAAATTATTATTAAATATAAAATTTGATCCACACGGATCGGTCTTATGGAGATTCGTGATAAATCCATAGTGACAAACGCATAATTTCATACTGAAGTTATAATAGTAACTGCGTAAACTTATGATGGAATCAGGCTGATATTTTTTTAAATTCATCATAATATTGTAATGATATTGTTGCCTTCTATTCATAATTCAAGAAAAAAACTTTTTTGTAACTGTTGGAAATTCCTTAGGACAGTATCTCCATGATGATATTGACATAATTTCATTATGAAATCATAATGATATTAAAATAAATTAATAATTAAATGATGGTCATATCTTTATAAAATCATAATGATATCATAATGATATTTTTAGTCTTTTTAAATCGTGATATAAAATTATTGAGTCATAACTGTATACAGGAAATATTGCAAAATAATTAAATTAAAGAAATTTTTAGGAGGATTTAAATTGTTTTCAAAATAAGAAAATAATTATCTTGAGACGAAAAAATCTTTTCAGTCAAAAACCAAGATAGTGTTTTTCTAAATATTCTTCTAAGTTAAGAAAGACAAGGAAAAAATTTAAGTAGTTCAACAATATAGTGCATGATAAAAATACTGTTTTTCTCAATTATTATACATTTCCTCTGATTAACAGAAAAAATGAAATTTTTACTGATCTACTGAAAAAAAATTCGTTCCCACAGGTATTTTACTTATTACGGGTTTCTAAAGTATTGATATGGCTCTTATATGAATCTCATATTAGTGCCAAAATATATGAGATTCATTATGATATTCATTATGAGCCTCATAATGATATCATATTATTTTTACATGGGATAATTTTTGGTTATTACCTGCATGAAAATACTATACATGGCCGAACATGTATTGATAAGAATGTGGTGAGTATGTGAGCATACATAACGTCAAAATTACATATTTCTATTCAATATAGTTAAGATATATTTTGACTTAATATAACTCTGAATGCATTATTGCCATTTATGTTTCCAATGAATGTTTGTATTGTAAAATGAAATAATGCAGTGAAGCGGGAAAGAGGAAGAGTTACAGTAATTATTACGTGAAGCTTTCCAACATTCACGTAACAGGATAATTAAGGGAGGAAGGGATTGAGCCATAAATACATAAAAATTGTATTAAATCATTATACAATAACATAAATGTAAAATTTATATAGCTGATATATATGTTTACAATAAAAAATTTGGCGTCATTGTGTCAAAAAAATTTTTGTTAATTATTTCACTTATTTTTGTGTTGATTTAAGAAAATTAACATAATAAAGTTTTAAATTTACTCCTAAAAGTGTTCATAACACAAGAATTTTTGACGTAATGACGCAAAAATTTTACTGTATAATAAGCTGCAAAATTATATGTATATGCCTATATACACAACTTTATAGATTATGATATATCAAAAGTATATTTCTCCAAATATGTTCAGTAATGTACAGTCTTATCATGCAGATATAAATTTAAATTAATATTAACTATCGTCACTTACTGTTGACATTCCAAGCTCCTTCGATTTGATAAGCCGAACTTCCTACTCCAAAAATAAAGTCATCTGGAAAAGTATTTTCTGATATTTTATTAGTGAAATTATTTTCACAAGTAATATCGTTTCCGTGTACATGAAAATTCGATTGTATTGCTGTTAAGTGGAAAATTAGATAAAAAATTAGATTCGAAGAGATTAATTTTGTCATTTCGAGTGTTTTCCGAAAAAAAAAAAAAACGTTATGAGTGTTAATATTAATGGTTGATTATACATGTAGTTCATAAAAGTGCTGAAAAACGACTGCCGAAGTTAGGTAAACGTCTAATACCTATGACCTATTGGTCGATTATCAATAGCAAAGATTTCAAATACCTATACTTCATTAGCCTAGAATTCTATCACCAAGATCATTCATTTGTAAACTTCTGCTGCCTACAGGCTAATTGGTCAGAATACCGATGACATAAATCCTAATTATACCTGAATTTTAATGTACGACTCAAAATGTTATCAGCATAATTATTTTATCACCAAGATAAAAAAAATTTTTAAAACTCAGAAAAATATACTCAACCAAGAAAACCTTTCTAAGTTAAAAAATTTAAAATTTTTGTTTCTTGACTCAAGAAGGTACCTTTTTATCAGTGCATAATCTAGAATTCGATTACCAAGATTATATAGGTAATCGAATATTTAGAAAATATTGCCGAACCAGATATTAATATATTTATAAGAACTTTTTATATTATCGTCAATCAAAGACTATAGAGCAATTGGTTTTCCGACTTACCAGTTGATGTAAAGTATGTGAAAATGTTAGCTGACCGTGTCTGCTCGTACACCACTAATTATACACGGAGAAAATTAAATAATAGAAATTTATTATCCAGTAATGGTAAAATTTTATACCATTAACCCGATAGTAGTGAATACTATCTAGATGATTGTGTGAATCATCTAATAGATTGTAACATTCACCATATTTACAATAATTGTTACATTCCTGTATATTAACTAGAGTTAGTTAGTATTATTATTCTAAATAGTTATCCAGGTGGATTACAAATAGTTACCACAGTTACAACAGTTACCATCAGAAATTATAATAGTTTTTACTCTTATTATTTATATACTTCTGGGTGATTTTATTGATGACGAAAACAAGTATTGGAACCTTTTAAAATACTTAAAAATTGTAATTGAAATTATTACTAACAAAAAAATTTCTAAAGGTTCTTTAGATTCTTATTTTGATGAGCGTACTCATCAATCATTCCAAGTTATTGACAGTGACAGAAGCTCTCTCGCTTAAAAATTTTCATTTTACGCTGATCTAGACGATTGTACAGTAACTTATTTCAACATTTTAAACAATAAAACGTACATTACTAAATTATGGATTTAAATAGAAAATATTTTTTTACAATTTAAAAGTAAAATCAAAATAGGGCTGATACGCCAATGAAGAGTTTATAATATAAATAATTTTAATACTTGTAAGTATTAATAATCGCAAATAGAAGAAAGTAAAGTTTTTGTTTTATAAATTCTAGTTATCATTTTAGTAGAAAACTTTGGTATCCTCTGGCGATTTGGGTCTGAGTAATTAACTGCGAATAATCCATACTTTTGCGTATAACCTTGCCACCATTCGAAATTGTCGAGAAGAGACCAAGCAAAATACCCGCGAATATCTAAACCTTGATTTATAAGATTTGAAACCACTTGAAGGTGATCTAAATAGTACTGAGCTCTATCTGTATCATACAACGTCCCTTTATCCCAGTAGCCGTTTTCAGTTATGAGAAAATAAGGAATATTATAGTTTTCATTTATACGTTTCAGTGATTCTGCCATTGCCCATGGAGTATTCTAATATCAATCATAAAACAAAGATTAATAATAACCAAATCCACACTAATAAAAAAGTTACCTTGATTCGATAGAAAAAATCTTGAACATGAATACCATTTTCTTGAGTCAAGAGAATGAATTCTTGAGGTGAAAAATTATTCTCGAGCTAAAAATGTTTCCTCTTGACTCAAAAAAATTATATTCTTGGTTTGATTCTTTCTCTTTAATCAAGTCAACTTTTTTATCATTGCCTTCTTAAGTTGACTAAACACTTACCCGATCTTTGGGGAATTTCTTTAAGCTCATAGTCATTCCAACGTCTCTATCTCTAGAAACGCTACTTCTAATATCATAATTTTTCATTTTTTCTATATAAAAAGCTGAGTAGAAATTAAATCCAAAATAATCAGCTGAATTTTTCACCAATTGAATCTGTTCTGGGTTGAATTCTGGTAGCCTCGACTTAGAAAAGCCCTGAATGGCACTGTACTCAGCAATTCTATCTTTCATAGCCTTGGGATAGTCTCCATCATTAGAGAAAATAGGATTTATAATCCAGCCGTTCCAGAAATCCCAGGAGAATTTAGATCCCGCTAATTCTTCAGGATCAGACGCGTTTTCTGGAACTTCTACCATCATTGCCACCACAATTCCGACAGTACCTGTAATTGATTTAATTATATTTTCATTTTGAGTAAGAAATTTACGGAATTTAATTGTATGCTAGCCTTTTTGAGTTTCATAAAATTCTTCTTTATACATTCTATATGTTTCAGCATGAGCGAGTAATGCATGATGTGCACAAGAATAATCTGATTGACCAGATTCGTTTAATCCTGGAGCTAACAATCCATTGTAACTAAATCGACAAAATATATTTGGCTCATTGATGGTTGTCCAATATTTAACCTAAGCAGTTATATATCATTAATTAATTAAAATAAAATAATTTTTAGTAGATTTCATAGAAATCTAACTATTGCAATGGTCCTCATGACAAAACTTTTGAAAAATTTTGCTATATTCCGACATAACTCGACGAGCTGAGTCAGAAAATACATATGGTTCAAAAGTTTATATATGTATATATATATATATACGATATAACGCGGCTTGTCACCACGATAGCGTCGCCAATTTACAATGGATCTTTATCAAACTCAACATACTTATTCTACAGATAGATACCGAGGTCAAGTTCGAAGATGAGCTTAATCGGTCAAGTAATTTAGAAATGCTATGATTTCAAAATTTTCAAAATCATAAAAAATCATAAAAATTAACATTTCTCCATTTTCGTCCTTCAATAACTTTTGAATGGGATAATTTATCGAATTTATGTAAATTGCATCTGAAAGCTCTTTAAATAAGCTTCAATTTGAGTACCATATCATATGTGTATAGTCCCAAAATTATGTCCTATTCCGCTATGCCAATTATGAAATTTGCTATTATACTCGTTTTTTTTTCTTTACTGTACACCAGCAGTATGTAAACAAATAACGACTTAGGGTGAAATAAGGTTTTAATCGCCGGTTTACTAGAAATCCATTATTTTTTTCTATTTATGATGAAATCTACTTCCATTTCGACTGCCGAATGGTCTTTTTTTTTCTTTTCATGAACTACAAAATAACTTTGAGTTAAAGTTAAATTCAGCGATTATAAGAGTTATCGCAGATTACAATCGATGACGCAAATGTAATTAATAATTTGTTTATAATCTATAAAGATATCAACCATCAACAATGAGCGATAATAATCATTAAGATGATCACTTACCCTGTCTCCAAATTCTTGAAATAAAACTCTGGCATAATCGACAAACCAATCAACAATTTTAGGATTAGTCCATCCTCCTAAATCTTGTAATTTTTGTGGTAAATCCCAGTGAAAAATTGTAACATAAGGTGTGATATTTCTATCAAGCATTTCATTGATTACATTATTGTAGTAATCGATACCGTCCTTGTTGATGTAATTGCTGGTGCCATTAGGCAAAATTCTTGTCCATGATATAGATATTCTGTATGCACTTGCCTAAAATAGAATAGTGTGAACAATTAAAAATTGAGAGGACTATATCAATATTTAGATCTTACTCCAAGTTGCTTGACAAGGTCGATGTCCGTTTTGTACAAGTAGTACGAATTATCAGCAATGTCACCATTACTCCCATCAGCAATCTTATCTGGCCTTTCATGTGTCATTGTATCCCAAATAGATTCGCCTTTATCTTGATTGCCACACCATAAATTCAATTAGTTTAGTTCAGTATCAAAATTTTCGCTATCTATTAATTTATATTAATATTCACTGTTGTAACTTACGGTTGACATTCCAAGCTCCTTCAATTTGATAAGCCGATGTTGATACTCCAAAAATAAAGTTTTTCGGAAAAGTATTTTTTATTGTATTATCAGTGAAATGATCTGCACAAGTAATGTCGTTTCCATGAACATGAAAATTCGATTGTATCACTGTTAAGTAGAAAATTAGATTCAAGAAAATTAATTTTGTCATTTTGATAGCTTTTTGAAAAGAAAACTTTACAAGTGTTATTATTAATGCTTGCTTGTAATTTTAATGCTGAAGACCGACTGCCAAAGTTTAAAATTTTATTTGGCTTGTTGAAAAAACTTTACACAGTTGAGTAATTAAATTACAACGATGAATTTACGATAACATCGTTAAGATTATGCTTTTTATTATCGCTTACGTTTTATTATCTTTTTTTTTATATGACTGCACAAAGTAATTAGAAGTTCATTTCTTTTGCATAAAACAGAACAAATACTTGAACCGAGTGAAATTTTCTAAAGCCAAAAACAAATTCATATTCTTCGTCTATTTGTAGAAACTCGATGCTTTATTATTATAGTAAAGAAACATTAATATTAGGATGGTTCCAAAAAACGAATATTTTTTTTTCTCAGTAATAGAGGCTTAAAAGTTTCATTTAGAAAAGATGAGTTCTTAATTTTAATATTAAGATGCTCCGCATTGCGCTTTTCGATTTTCCGTAAGAATAACATGGGAAAAATTATTTTTGCTTCTTTTGATTTTTGTAACTCATCAACCAAAAATCATAAAAACAAATTGTTAAAATACGTATTTTTGTAGGAAATTTTACTCTCTACAAAAAAGGGATCCTATGATTTTTTGATAAACTGATTGGTTCAAAAGCTATTGAAGATTAAAGTTCAACTCACTATCAATTTTGCCGAACGTGACTAAGTCAAGAATATGGCGCTAACCCAGACAGTCACCATCTGACCCTTTGAGGTTTCATAAATGTATATATCTTGTACACATTACATGATCCGTAATTTATTGTCGAGTATCTTAACATTGTAGTTCTTATAAATTTTGCGGTTAACGCAATCCAATAGTAATCAAATTTCAGTCTTTTACATAATGTTTACTATATCAATCAGCATGGTTACAAATTTTTTTACAGATGCTAGGTAATAAGTTTACATTCAAAGAAAAAGTTAACTGTTTGGAACATGACTGAGTCATAAGCGCGCATCATTTATAGTTATGTGCTAACTAAATTTTCTTATATTGCTGGCAACATGTTAATGTCTTGTGCAGTACAGTAACCGCAGTTGAGTTCTAATTTTTCCATGCAGCAATTAATCAATTAAAAAAAAATTTTCATAAGTTCAGAGATAATTTTTCTTTCTAATAGAGTGCATTTTGTATCATTTATATGTATAATATGATTTTCAAGTACAGTTTTATATGACACAACGTTGAAATCTAGATTTTTGGTAAAATTAGTCAAACATATATTCGCGCTCATACTTAATTTAAGACATGCAATTATCTGACAAAGAGTATTACCTTATATTAAAATCGTACTTCTGATAAATTTTTTATGCTAAGAAAAAATTACAACGTGATTTCTTACTTCTCTGTCATATTCGTCTATTCTGACGATAATTCAACACTTCTGATAGACATGCGCCGTATTAATACGCTGCGCGCGTAGACTTACGATTCTTCATACGCAAATATATACTTTCATATTTTATATCAGTTTTTAATAAAATAAAAGCGAAACTATTCTACGATTCTTTAAAATTTTTCAAAAAAATAAAGTTTAGAATTGCTGCCTAAAATATAATTCAATAAAAAGAGTTTTCATTCAAACTGCGATCGGTTAAAGAGCGTGCGTTTAGTTTGAAATACTTTGTATAGTGACCTCAATCTATGAAAGTTTTCGGTTTACCTTCCATCGCGACTCCAGTAACTCATAATCCTACAGCTCTTACACATCCTGGTGAAATTAATACTTGTATTTTATTTATCAGTACATAAAAATTTTCTGCATCGATAAAAATTTCAGTCAATCATTAACAAAAAATTTAAATTTAGATTTTTGAGAATATATTTAATAAAAATTAAAAGCTTAACAAATTCAAGCTCGTTAAATGTATTTGCAATTTATATTCATCGTAAAATATAAATATGGTTAAGTTTATATCAACTATAAAAGCAGTGATCACCCGCTTACTGTTTGCATCCCATGGATTTATCGCAATTTGGCAAGTGACGTCCTTCAAAAAAAATCCTTTTTACTGGTACCTCAGTTCACCGATTTTATTGTTGTTCTTCGAGGGAATATTTACTATTGCAATAAAAACTCACCAGGAATGGAAGTGGTAAATAAAATTGTTTTGTTTCTAAATCTATTTTTTATAAACAAATTATATCTTTGTTGAACTATTTACAATTTTTTTGTATCTAATAAAAATAGGTCAATAAAAGTACTTATTTTTCTAAAGACTTTGATAGACAGACGGAAATTGAGTGGCGTTGATCAAACAGCTCAATTTATACACTTTGTCACATCACTTCCGAACAAAAGAAAACGATTATAATTATTTTGACTTATATTTTTTATCGTCAAAAATACCTTTATATTACAATTTTTTATTGACTCTTGAGTATGTGAATAGTTGTTTTATTCGTATGTTTAGTACAAATTTTGATGATTGATATCAATGTTTTAGCTAATACAAAATTTACAGGTAAAAGATTAATTGCTATTTTATATGATATTAGTAAACTTTTAAATCCAATATTGTTAAAAGAAATTATTTCTCATTGCTGTCCTTTTAAAGAAATATCAATAATTAACTGACAATGATTACTATTGCAATTTTCACTACAAATCAAGCTGAATTAACTTAATTTTTTCGAGTATAAAAATCTTTGAGGTAATTCGATCACTTTTACATTATAAAACGATAAATACGTTCGTTTTTGCTATTTATTATTTTCTCATTTATTTTTTACTGATGTGCAGTTTCGAATACTTAACTAATTTATTAATCCACTCTTATAATTTAGATGAAAAATATGAAAATATATCATGTAAGAGCAAACTATTCGTAACGTGATTGGTCAAATATATCATAAGCATGAAAATATAGATAATTCCATACTAATATTCACACGCACGCTTGCGCGCGCAACGTATACTAGTTATATCTTAAAAACTATGTAGTAACTATGAATTTAACTATTTTAAAAATGTTTATTTTTCTTAATAGATTCTTAATCATTAGAATCACATATACGAATAAACTTGTTGGTGTGCAAGTATAAAAGCCTCAAAAAATCTTTGAAATTTAATATTCTCCGTAACCGTACACTGACAAAAAAATTAACTTGATTCGAGAGAAAAATTCTTGAGCCAAGAAAATAATTTTGAAGAGGTCAATTGTTTTGAATCAAGATGAAAATTTTTTAAATCAAGTGAAATTTCCTTAAATCAAGAAAAATTTATTAATTCAAGAATTTTTCTACTCAAATCAAGAATAATTCAAGTTCTTCAAAATTAATAAAATTATATACTTAATACAAAAACATGATACTAAAGTTAGCCCACGTTCAAAAATTTTTTTATTTTTTTTAACAATTAAATTGCAAGTAAAAACATACTTTAAAAAAATTGCACCTATAATTTTTCAAATTTTCTACATGTGAAATTTTTTATTTTAATTTTATAGTAACAATTTTTTCATTAAAAATAATTATAAAAATTTTCAGATGTCGGCTAATTTAATTTTTATTACAAAAACATTTTTTTTTTTTCTGTGTATTGTTCAAAAATTCCATTTTACACAAATCGATGCAGATTAATTTGAAGATCAACCTGACCAAATTTAAAAACAATCCGAATAAAACCCACTTGGCGATAGATCTACCTTAAAAATCTAAAGGAATAAAAATTTTTCAATCAAAGATCTTAATATAAATATAATTTGCAATAATAGAATTTATGTTAAATATTCCAGGTTCTGCCCATCAGTGTTTCTTTACCTCACAAGTGTCGTCCCAGCAATTTGGCTTTTGGAACTGGATAAACTAGAAACTCGATTAAAATCACGTACCACAAATATAAATATATCAGAAACAATAGACATCAGTAATTTAGCAGCAGAAGACTTGAAAAATTTGGAAAAAATATTTGGGGTTCGTTAGCTAAATGAATAATTTTTTTCATTCATAATTATCAACTATAACAATAGATTATTTTAATTTCCAGTCGATCAACTTCAAATTACCTGATATCCAAATATCAACAGAAACATGGGTCACCCTGATAGAGCAATTTCTAATGTTAGTACTAATTGTTGGTCGGTGGATGTTACCTAAGGGAGACTTGACACGTGACCAATTGAGCCAGCTTTTGCTTGTCTATATTGGAACAGCCGCAGACATAATAGAGTTTTTTGATTCCTTCAAAGAAGATGTTATCGGACAGGAGTACGTTCTTGTTTATCTGACTTTGGGCATATGGTCATGGTCCTTGATGCAATTCACAGTTGTATTGACGGCAACAAAATCACGAAAATCGAGATTGTCATCAGGGACAACAGTGAAAAGAAAAGTACCCACTGAAACAAGCTGTTGCAGTATTGACACTTGGGGTATAACTCTCAATATTTTACTTCAGGATGCTCCATTCCTTGCATTTCGTCTGATTATTATTGTCCATTACCGTATCGTTAGTTATATGAACATTTTTTTCACTTGCAAGAATACTCTGGTTATTTTACTTCAGTTGTATAGACTCTGTGTGGTACACAGTGAAAACAGAAGCAAGCGGAAACGGAGGAAATTGAAACAAAGACAAAAATACGAAATACCAAATATCAGTATTATATCACGCGATGATGCTGTTTATAACTACGAACATTCACATTCGAAAAAACGACGACGGAACTATGAAGATGATTCATCAGAATCCGATGATGATTTTTCTGTTAAAGAAAACGATATTTATGAACTATCAGTTAAAGATTTGTCACGAAATAAAAGGTGAGTTTTTTATTCAATAAAGTTCTTTTATGATATTTTTTTTTTTTTTAATATTTGGCATTAAAGTTAATTAATATTATTAAATAATCAATCAGGAGTAATATTAGACAAGATACTGGATATTCTACTTCTAGCTCGCGCACTTCGTCCAAAAATAATAAAATCCATAAGGATGATAAAAGACGAGTTTTAATGCGTCATCGAGAAGTCGATAGCGAAGAGTTTTATGATCTAGATGATGAAGTTGAAGTAAAGCGAAAACAGAGAGACAAAAATAAGGGAAAAAGATTAAAGAAAGATGATTTCAAAAATGATAAAGAAAAAAATAAATCGGTTAAGAAGAAATCAAAAGTTTGTAACTTAACTTCAGAGGAATGTGAAGATAAGAGTGCTTATAAAAGTCAGAGCGAATCAGATATTGAATCTGACCATAGGCAAGTTTGTTTTTTTTTTTTTTGCAAATATTTATTTTCAATTTATTCATTTAATTTATTTTTTTACAGATATCAGCGTCGTAAGCATCGTAATAAGGAATAATAAAATATTTTGAATAGACATTTATAATGAATCGTTATAATTATTATACATTTAATAATTTTCAAGCTTAAAATTTTAATTTCAATTTTGAAAATTCATTAGTTAGAATTAGAAATTTTTCAGAGCTAAGAATTTTAGTTTTAAGATTATTATCAAATCGATCTTTTAAAAAAATCAGACATTTTAAATTAAAAATAAATAATTTATTGATATTAGAATAATAATAAATCGATGTTATTATCTCGATGTAAAATTAAAATTAATTCATAAATAAACAATTAGCTTTTATTATTTAATCAGTTGAATTTAATAAATTAAACTTAATGAATTAACAAGTACTACATAAGAAATAAATTTTTAAAATAATTTTTTAAATATTAAGAATGTTTGAGCGCATCTTATGGAAAGGCAAATTAAAACAGTAAAATTTTCAATTTCTTCTGTACATCACAGATTCCATAATTTTACAATTTTTTTAAATAAATATTGTCCACTCCATATTTTCAATGCATGACTTTAAATACTTTTGCGAAGAGTAAATAGTAGACAATTTTTAAATTTTAAATTAATTCAACATTTGTAATAGTTACAAAAATTTCAAGTGTTAAAATTGAAAAGGGTGTTTTTTTTCTTCTAATGAGCTCAAGCATTTTTAAACTACGAAAAATTTTTAAAAATAATTACTCTAACTTAGACATTAACCAATTAATCGATTGATCGGCATCCAGAGTATCGATGTAACTAATCAAGTCATCTTGATGAATACCAGCAGCAACGCAATAAATCATGGCAGTGTCTTCAATTAATTCATTAATCCAATTTCCATTTAACAATTCGAAATCCACTACTTTAGCTCCTGTAGAATTTGTATCTTGAAACGTTTTATTTGTTTGGACAGTAAAATATTTTTCTTGATAACCATGGAATGCGTTATCACTTACTACAATTCCGTCTGTAAAATTTTCAGTTCTTGCACTAATTGAAGCTTCTGGTTTTACAATTTTTGATCTTTCTTTTTTTACCGTTGGAATCGTAGTTTTTAACAAAATCAGAGTGTTCTTGGAGCCGCTTTCTAAAGCTTGCTGGAGTTTCTCATGATTTTTTATGTTCTTAAAATTAATAAACAATTTATTCGGGGATAATTTTGAAACTTCTCCGGAAGTAGAACTCACTTCTTGCAGAAAAAATGTACTTCCTTTCAAAGAAGCAAGAGGTGCTTTCAAATTAACTGAATTTTCTGACTTGCTAATTATATTTTCTACAGTCTCTGATTTCCTTGTTATTTGTTTATTAATCAGTGTTTTGTACTCCGGTGTCATTATTTGAGCGCAGAAACCCAGGACATAGTGCAGACTGTCGTGCATGTAATGCGCGAATGTTTTTTCTTCTTTGCTTTTAGTTCTTTTATCACGTGAATAAGTTCTTTTTTTACAGAGCCAGCGGTTCTCGTTGTTCGTCATATTTGAACCAATCGCCGAGGATACTTGCTTATAGGAATTATTGTCTGCGTTGACAAAACAGCGACCAAAAAATTCTGTTCCTAGTCCGATCTGAAAAATAAAATTTATAATTTGTATTCATGTAAAAATACCTATTAATTTTTTTAGCAGAAACGACAAAAAACTTAAAGAACTAATTTGAGTAAGTCACTATTCAAAATTACAAAAAATTTTGAAATATTTTAAGCAAAAATTTTAATTTTAAAAATCAAGAATTAAGGGATCATTCTGGTTTATAACTTTTGAAAAAATTATTTTTAATTTTAAAAAATGGGATTTCTAAAAAAGCTAGAGTGATTTTTATAGTGCCGGTATTACTGATTGACTTTAGATAAAATTTGTTTTGTTTTTTTTAATTAAAAAAACTTCAAACGCTATCTCAGAACTATGTTTCTCTGGTTTACGTACATGATATCTCCGGAACCACTGACCCTATCTTAATGAAATTTAAACCATACATTATACATAGTAGTAGCTATTTCATTAGCTACAAACAAATCAAAATTTTGATTTTTACTATTTTTTTAGAATTACAAACTGCGAATAAAAGGCTCATTTATTAGTTTTTTTTTTTTTTTTTTAATCTCTGCCATTGTGTTATTTATCAATAAATATTAATCCCCGCAGCTAATGCAATTGAAGGTAAATAATTTTGGTTTTTGTGTTTTAGATGATTCGTAATCAAGTTGTTTATTCATATAAAAAAATAAATAAAGTTAGATATTTTTTGTGTTATTCAAGAATTATGTGTCGAGCTAAAAACTTTTAAATTATTATCTTCAATAGTTCCTGTGTAAAAAAAATAATGAATATTTTTTTTTTTAAGCACTGGAACCAAAATAATCCCTTACACCAATTACCTGTGGATGATAAATCGGCCTTTCATGCATTCCGTGTACTGGCCATTCCTTCCACTCCATTTCGTCGCTTACCGTTGGCGGTTGATAAGCCGCTCCCACATTGTAAAGTTTTTTAGTTATCGACCTGGTATTCATATGAGGTACATTGCATTTCTTCAATTGTTTCTTCTTGATCCCACCATCATTACGACAACCGCGGCGTTTCGCTGCTAATAGTCTCAACCTTGAGAAATTATCGTCATTTTTTTTCTTTACACCTTGCAGTGGAACTCGCTGCTGTACTTCTGTCCTAAAAAAAGAAAATATTGTTAATAATTATGATAATAAATAAAAAAAATATGTATATTATCAATAAAAAAAATTATACTTAGTCTTATCCATTTTTTTCATTGATTTTATTTTCCCGATTATTGACTCAATATTGCTGGCATTTCTTGATTGCAATTTGGGCTTTTTATCTTCCTTTTTTACGATTATCGTACCAGCTGGTAATTTTGGAACTTTAACATTATTGTCGATATTGAATAACGATCGCGAAGGATTGTAATTACATTTTTTGTACGACGAATCTGACGAAGTCCCGGCTGTCTCATGATCTATATTAAACTCGCGCCGAAGGTCTAGTTTTGCTTTATAATCACTCAGTTCTATTACTCGTGTAGGAACATACTCTTGGTAGATGTAGTTTAATTTAGGTGCTGGAGGTTCATTTAAAATTATCAACTCCACGTTAGAATTCATTTTTAATATTTATATCAACGCTGTGAGGTACCACTTAAATTTATGTTATTTCACAGAAAAAAAATTATAACTAAGTATTTTATTTTATTTAATTTAAAATTAATTTTTATAATAGGTGTATTGATAAGTTTATTGTAAATAAATAACCTTCACCACTGAATCAACTGTCAAACTGTAATGTTTTTAGTTCAGCCTTACTGATTTTTTGTTTATAGCTATTGTTTAGATTTCAGATGTTTTTTTTTTTAATATATATGTCAACAGTCGATTTGGAGAATTGGAGATGGAAAATAAAAGATATGCTTAGCGGGACCACCGTTATAATAATAAAAAAAAATAATTATTATTTTTAAGCAATTTTTTAGATTATCTAATTTTTTTTTTCAAAAAAATTTTTTTTGAAATTTATTAAAAAAATTATTATTAGAATAAATTAAATATGTTGATCGTAAATAAATTTTTTTCAGAGGATAATTTTTTAAAATTTAGGCTAAAAAATTAAATCAATAATTTAGCATTATTTTTTATTCTTATTAATGATTTTTTTCTGTGTGAAAAAAAAAATATAATATCACTGAAAATCACAAAAAAGTTATAAAATAATCTAATAAAAAGAAATAAATAACAATATTAATTTATGAGAATGTTTGTAGTAAAAAAATTGGAAAACTCTAGATAGCATGTTACTAGCACTAGTGTTCATAAACAATTAAAAAAAAATATTAATCATTACTTGCTCATGCTAAAATAAATAAGAAAATGTTTAATTTTGAAATAAATCACTATCTAAAATAGCGTGTAGAAAATTTTATTAATATCTCATTTATTAAAATGTTATTAAAAAAAAAAAAATTTCTACTTACACTAACTAATATAAATCGCCTTTTTATACAGGTACACGAATACGAAATTTATAGTTATATATATATATAATTTGCTTATATTGCACGTTAACTATATATGCATATATAGTTTACAATGACTTTTTTCTTTTTTCGGATACCGTTATATTATTTACATTGCAAATAATAAACAGAAAACAAATCAATTTAGCTTGCTCATCCACTAATCCTCAATTCAAATTGTCAGTAGTGAAAGTAAGCGTGGTAAGAGACGAACGTCGGTTTGGATTAACGCCGAGATTTTCCCAATTTATCCAAGCTAAACGAGCCATGAGATCTGAAATAAAGTCAACAATTTTAACTTGTCTTTCCCAATAATCAAATAGTTTCGATACTGCCATTCTAGTATGTCATATCCCACTTTTAGAAAATTTTACAACAGACAGTAAAAACAGTTCATTTAATTTTTAACATTGATTAAATGGGATTCAACGAATGTAAATATTTATTTAAAAATAGTTATTAAATTATTTGACCTTTAAATTTTTAATATGACTTCCATAATATTGTTGTAACTCTATTTTTCAAAAAGAACCAATGTGTCAAATTTTGTGGGATACCACGTATTAGAATGGCAGTTTCGATATATTAGTGATGTTTGGGAATATTTACCACTTGTGTTCCATTCAGCGCGTTCACCACTCATTTCACCTCTGAGACACATTTCGATGTACGTCAAAGGATCAACATTTTTGACTTTCAAAACTTCTGTCAGCAGTGCAATGTACGCTATTGCCAATCGCAAGGTGTCGATTTTTGACAACCTTTTTTCGTAGGGAAACGTCGGCACGTGGCCCCTCAGTGCATCGAAAGCCGAGTTTATGCTGCTAAAAATTTCAATAAAACTTAAAAATCAATATTCTATCGTTAATGAGGAATTACTTTTAATTAATAATTAAAATTATTGATCTTTTGTAAAAAAAATTTGGATATAAATAAATTTAAGAGTACGCTTTTTATTTTCTTTATAATTTATACTAAACTAAAAATTCAAATTGCGATTTAATCGTCACACAACCAACGAGAAATCACGGACAATTTTTTTCGAATAATTTTGTTCGATAAATTTCGATTCTAAGTAATTTCAACTCAACCATGAATTTTATATTGCAGGATCAACTTTTACAATTTGAACTCGTGAATTTAATTTTTTTTTACAAACAATGAACTTATTTTGAAACAATATTGAAATCAATCAAAATAGTGTTTTATCTTTGAAAAAGAAAAAAACAGAAAATTATTTTTTTTTTTAATTATAATTTTATGAAATAGTAAAAAACAAATAACTATTTAAACAACTATAAATAAACTTACTATAAACTACACTGAAAAAAAAAAATTAACTTAAGGAAGAATTCTTGAGCAAAAAAAAATTATTTTTTAACAATTTCATTGTCTAGATTTATCTCTAAAATGAAAATACATGAGAGCCATTTAAATTTCTAGATTAATGTAAATGTCATAAAAATTTTTTATAAATATTCCAATTATAATTTTTTTTTTTTCATATGTTTTACTTTAAAATAAATTGACTAAAATTTTTATTCTGAACCGAGGATCAAACACTGCGCGTTATGAAATACGCAACACTATAAAATCAATATCCTTTCTGTTTTACATCAAAATTTAATCGTACTGCTAAAATCTCAAAAAAAAAAAAATGACATGACATTTCTTCATATTTCATTTAATTTCTTCCTAAAAATTGAAGAATAGATGAAAATTTTTAGAACAACAATGTATAATTTTCTGTTGTATCTTGTAATTAACTGAAATAAAATTTACTTAAATAATCAAGGTAATTTTTATAATGATCAAAGAACTAGTGGTTCTTACCTTAGCATCCGTCGACGTTCCCTGATATTTGCAGCGTTTCTTTGAATTCTATATGGACTACCATTGGGATAGTAACCTTCTTCAAATCCATTCAAGTCATTGTCATTATGATCTTTAAGAAAAAAAAAAATACTTTATTAATAAAAAATCTGTTCTCTTTAAATTAAAACTTGAAATTTTTAAAAACACTTATATTAAGTTACAATAATATTAAAAAAAAACTCCTTTATAATTATTTTTAGTTGTGAATAACAAAATTTTGCAATCAACGAAATCAAGGACATATAAATACCTTGTGTTGACAGTGGCATGTTATATTGTAAGGGCAAGTGTGTATGGCTATGGGGTGAAGTATGAGCCGCCACATGTTGCGTAGATCGGCCTGCATAGGCACAAGATGGCAAATCTGTAAGATCTTCTTCACTTATGTCACTTCCTCCTCCACCTCCATTTCCTGCGTAGTATCTTGTACTGCAATAATATTTCCATTTTTATATAATTTTAACAACAGAATATTTTTTTTTTTGTATCAAATAATAAATCATGATCATATTAATCCAAATTTAGTCAATTAGAATAAATTTATTACTCTTTTTTATTGGTAACAATAATTTATTATTTGTAAAAAAATCCTGAACGAAATTAAGTAATATTCATACTTTATTTGTGAAAACAATTTCAAAAAAATAAATTTAATTAATAATTTTATCAAATTTTTAGCAATATAAAAATTAATAATTTATTTAATTTATAATTGCTAATAAGTTAAAAAAATTTCTATGGAACACCAATCATTTTTGGTGTTAGAAAAATTGTTTTAAAATGTACAAATTACTCAAAATTTTAATAAAGTCCAAAAGATTCAATTAAATTAAAAATTGTAAAATAATTATTTGTTTTATAAAATCAATTTATTTAATTGAAAATTTTTTTATTTAATAAAAAAAAATGATACGATTAAAATGAAAAAAAAAAAAAAAAAAAAATCATAATTACTTTGCACAAATGGAATCAGCAGGCTTGTGTGAACCAGGAATAACTCGGTGTCTTGAGGTAATACGATGTCCACGTTCTTCATAATTGTAAGCCAAATGCGACGCCATATTTAAATAATAAAATCACAGCCTATCACAATTATTACAATTATACTATAATTCACGGTTTAATTAATTAACTATGCTTCACTATTGGCTATATGTACACAAGTGTTAAAATATTGTTGTACTTGTTACTTATAAAAATGGTTTAAAACTAAAAAATGATTAAATCAACAACGAAAGCTTGAGCACGGCGTGCAGCTTCTTTGAAGTACTACTATCAGATTAATCCCCGAGGATTTCGGTTTATATACTTACCCGTGATTGCAAACCAGAGGGGGTTCTCGGAATCGATACCAACCCCTGGGCGGAGCGAGTCAGCCAATGGTACAACAACCAGAATAAAATTTTCGTCAAGATACGCTCCGATTGGATGGAATTTAATAACGCAATTTACTTTAACTATAAAGTAAGGGTGGCAGCGAGCCACTGCGGTTTATCGTTACTGCCAAACAAAATTATTTTATATTCACTCGAGTGTATAATGTTCTATACTCAACTCTTCCATACTAAACTATACTATAAGCGAACAATATTAAAATAAATAAAACAAAAAATAATCAACCGAATAATCGAGTAAAAAAATTAAAATAGCCGGGAGTCATTGCAGCTTAACATTCACTGGATTGTTTTAATTATCAATTCACTCAATTTCAGGTTTTTTACTCCATTTCTTTCGTGAAATATATTATTTTATTATTTTATTTATTGGATACGATATTGAAATATTTTATCTACTTACTGTCAAATTAAATTGTTATTCTATTATCAAATACTCATTTATATTTGTGATCAAATATAAAAATTTAATTTTACAGTCATCTAGTTTTTTTAGCATAAAAAATCGAAAAATTAAAATTTTTTTTAATATTTTAATGTTAATTTTGAAATCGTAGGAAATATTTTTTTTTTCTAATCATTCTATTTGCACAGTAAAAAATTTTGCGTCATTGCGTCAAAAAATTTTGTGTTAAAAATTTTTATGTTAAATATTTAACACTTTTTTGTGTTAATTTAACATTTTTCTGCGTTAATTTAACACAATTAATGTTAAATTTACACATAAAAGTGTTAAATATTTAACACAAAATTTTTTGACGCAATTTCCAAAAAATGTATAAATTTGTTATTAAAAATTTTAATTATAAAAATTTGCCAAAGAGACATGAACTATAAAAAGTAGATATTTATTGATGTGACAGCCTGAGAAAAGGAAGATTCAATTGTCAGTTCAAATATTAGCCTTCCCATAGCTTTCAATTGAATGGCTTACGGATATTCAAATGAGATATGTTTTCGCGGTATACAATACACTAGTAAGGCGCAATTATACGAGGTGTTAATACCACCACAATAGTATTTCTATATTGTATATTGTACATAGGGTTGTAGGTACAAGTTAAGGGGATCATTTTATTGTCGGAATATACCGATAGAACCACGTATATATCTGGTTTATTATATAACTTTCTCGACGAGCTCAAACTTTCTGAGATTTTCTATATCTCTAATTTAAATTAGTTTTAATGACGTCTGTTCCTTATTGTCGTAGTTATGAGAGGTAAGGTAGCAATATTGATTGTTCTGCTTGAACTTCTTTTATTATGTACTTTATTATTATTAATTTTTAGAGTGTATATAGTCGGTGTCTTTAAGTACACGCAAAAAGACTAATAAAAGATTTCAATTTACTGTTTGTGTTGGTTTTAATTAAATTTGTGTCACTTGAAGTAGTACAGTTTGTGTTATTGCTTGCTTTCTCATTCGTTATTTCTTCTTTTCTCACTAGTTATTACTTACGCACTTATATTTTTCAACGAGATAAATTTTTAAATAATTTATTTTTGCTTCAACAAAATTGAAAACAATATGATACTGAAGTTAGCAGATGTCTAAAAATTTTTGATTTTTTTTATTAATTAAATTACAACTAAAAAGATATTTATAAAAAATTGCACTTATAGTTTTTCAAGTTTTTTACATGTGACAATTTTTTTTCTTAATTGTCTAATTGAAATTTTTTCAATAAAAAATTTCTTTAAATTTTGAAATGTCGGTTAACTTTATTTTCATAAAACAATCGATTTTTTCTTTTGAATATTTTTAATTCATACTAATGTATAGACGAGTACATTTTAGTACATTGATAAAAAAAAATTGATCATTTGAGAAATTATTTTTAATTCAAATAAATTTTACTTGATTCAAAAATTTTTTTTTGCTTAATTTAAAATGAATCTCTTCAAAATAATTTTGTTGGTTCAAGATTTTTTTTTCTTTAATAAAATTGATTTTTTTATCAATGTATTCTAACATAAAAAATTATTTTGAAAAAAATCAATTATTGTGATGAAAAATTTCTTTCAAAATTTTTATTTTTTATACAATAAACAAATTTCAAAAATTTATCATGAAAAGAAATATTTCAATTTTTTAATAATAAATAAATGAATGTGAATAAAAAATTTTTATTAATTTTAATACTCTAATAAAAAATTCATAATTATTAATTAAATATTCCTGAAAAATAATTGTCTTCAGTATAACTTATTATTTATTCCATTCTACGTTAAAGTCAATTTTTCTTTACTTTTAAATTAAAAATAATTAATAAATGTAATTTAGTAAAAAATATTCTTTAAAATTGATAAAGTTTTATAATATCTGTATCAAATAGTAAAATATTTGTAGATGCATTAATTCAACTCTAAAGTGTGTCAACATTTGGAGTATATACACCTATATAAATCAACCGCAACTGCTCTCGAGAGCTCTAACACTGTTTCTGTCCCTGACATAAACGATTATTTATCTCAATTTGTTACGATAGGGTACTCAATCTCGAGGAACCGTGAATTTAATGCTACAAATATTTATATTTATTTTGCACGGGACATTAATGTTATGACTTTTTATTGAATATTTTTTTTTTAAATAAAAAAAATTATTTTCAATAATAATGAAGATGATTTCTGCGGTGGTAAAATATTAATAGCAAAAATTTTTCAGGTGGCAAAAACAAATTTTATAATTAATACACTGAGAAAAAAAAAGTACTACTTTTGAGAAAATTTTCTTGTCACAAGAATATATATTCTTGATAATTTTTAAGAATTGATCAAATTAATCGAAGTATTTTTTGTTTAATTCAAGTGAACCTGTTAGTTTGTTAATCTATCAAAATTAATGCCAACATTTTATTATCATGATAGACATTGATATTTTTTTGTCAAAAAACCAAAATTAATTTTAAAAGATTTTTGAGCCAAGAAATTTTTTTTCTGGACAAAAAATTTTTTTTTCTCGGATAGTAAATTTTTATTTTGCACACGTTAGTAAAATAGTAAAAACAATTAAATAGTGCAATTAAATTATATCAATCAAGATATGTATGATTGATTACTTAAATGAAAATCTGACTTTAAAAGCAGCGTCATAAAAATTTTTATAAGAAGTATGCGATGAATATCAATCTTTCAAAATATTATGTAATGGTGATAATGTATAAAGAAATGATAATTGAAAGTGATTGGATACGGGATCGGTGGAGTGGTCGGATTTCCGTTCAAATATTTAATTCGCGATTACACACTAGCCACCCGTCCATTCCTTTCAGCGTAACACAGAGAACCCCCTGTCAGCACCAGCGACAAGAGGGTAGCCAGTGAGCTCTATAATAGAGATTTCACGCCGCGGGCCCTTCCTGAACTAGTTCTCACAGTAGGGGTTACCATCGATGTAAATATATTGTCCTTAGTATCTCCATATATTGTAACCCAAACAGTTGGACTAAAATTTTCCAATCTTTAAAAGAACCTTTGAACGCGTGCCTCTAAGTATCTGTTTATAGTCCGTGGGGATCAATTTATTTGCTAAATTATTTATTGCTCAAATATGCTTACGAGGTTACACGAGTGGTTGAACATGGTTTACCGAAATCCGTTTGATTGTTGTATTTGGGATCGTTGGGAAAAACAAACTTATTTTGGTTTTTTTAATTCATTATACTCGATTATGTAATGTCTGTTTTTTTTATCTTATTACCATGGGTAATAATATTTCCCAATTTTTTATGATAATATAGATTGATATTTGGCACGAAAGAAACAATTGTATTCATTTTATGGTTTTTTTCTTCATATTCTCGCAGTTAGAAATAATAATGTAACGTTCAAAATTCCTAATTGTACTACTATTCCATAAACTGAAAAAAAAATTAACTTGATTCAAGAGAAAAATTCTTGAACCAAGAACATAATTTTGAAGAGGGTAATTGTCTTAAATCAAGATGAAAAATCAAAAATTTTTCTACTCAAATCACGAATGTCAAGTTCTACAAAATTATATACTTGATTCAAGAAAATTTTTTTTCTGTGTACGAGCACTCTTTTGTTGTAACTGGTATTCGTTTATGGTAAAAGATACCACCGGATATTGCTAGTTCACATTCTCTTGAAAGCTTTAAAAATAAAGCGTTCGAGTTTTTCTTAAATCGTGAAATTAAAAATCGACATTGAGCTTTTATGCATAAATGAAGGAACAATTTAGCTATTAATTATTAAAATCTATATAAAATTATACAAATTTCACTTAAATGATATAAAATATTTCCTTTTTTGAGGATAAAAATTTTAGTGAAATTTATTTTCTGATTTTTATTTTTCTAAATTTACCAAATTAAACCTTATGTAAAAAATACATCATAGTATTTATGAGATAATAAAAAATGATGATCTATTTTTGCCATTTGGTTTTCGCCTTGGCATATGGCTGAATAAATAAATAAATAAATAAATAAATAAATAAATAAAATATTTTCTGTATAACTTACGGAAGAGTATTTTCTCAAATTTTATAATTTTTTTCATACATGACATTAAGGAATATTTATTTAAATTTCATTGATTCTTTCTTTAAAATTCTTCGTGGTACATTATGAAATATTTCACAGAGTTTTTGTGCTGAAACATGTCCATTATATTTAAGATATTAAGCTGTTATCCCTG